ATATCTTGCAGTTCTCAAGCAACAAGGCACCATCCCGCAGTCATCCACCCATCATCCACAATCGGTGCACCATATGCAACATCCTACATCATCACCTGCAATGACACATCATTACACACAGGGCCCACCATCTCAGATGCATATGCAACAAACACAAGGAATGCCACAAAACTCGATTGACGGAAGTAATTTCAATATCAACATGCAGCAACCACCACCATCTTCAGGCAATAGCGCGAATGTAGCGTTAAATCTTACTGGGCAAATAGAAGCGATTAATATGCAGCAAAATACTTTACGCGATCAAATACGTCAGTCCGAGTCAAATCTCTCCGCACAGCATTCGGTAATTTTTTACACCCTTCGATACATTTGGTTTATAAATTGCTTGTTTTTGGAATAGTAAAAGATGAAGTAGTAGATATATGGAGCGGTTGTAGCACTTTTTACAAATTTCGTATTGCATAAAATTCACATTTAGAGCGCATGGAGATATTAGGTATTCCAAAATTAGTTTTTAACGTGCCCAGTGACTTGAGAGTAAAAAAAAAAAAAATTATGTGCCTATTTTCAAAGTATAAAATTGATGCATCTGAAATGTGAGTACAAATGTTAAAAAAAAAAATAGTCTATTTACAAAAATTATTTGCAAATTTCAGCTAGCCAGTTGAACTTAATTGCTGGTATAAAATCAACAAGGAACAAGTCAAACGACTATGCAAACAATGAACGACGGCTATGCACTAGGATCATCATCGCACCAGTGAAACTTTAAGTGCAATTAAATATTTTTTGTGATTATTATGCTGTAATAACTAAATTTTTAAAGTTGTTAGTTGTTTTCAAGAAAAGTTGTTTATACTTTTTAAGGGTCTTTGGTTTTCCATATGTATGCGAACTACATGTGTTTCGAATTTCTGCTTCCCATAGAAGCCGTATTTAGTTGAGCTTGTTAGTATAAGTCCTAGTTGTATGTTGCTTTTTTTTCTCAGGAATTATTGTTGCTGTTTTGGGTTTTTCTGCGTGTTAACAACTACCTTCTCTCGGGAATAGTTCACCTTTTATGAAAATTTTTACTTGTCACATCTTATTACATCCCCGTTCTAAAAGTCGCTCCTCGTGAGGAAATGTCTTGCTACGGCCTGTTTAAAAAATAAATTAATATATCGGAACTTCATATGCATATATTAAGTTATATCGTACATACAATCGTGTGTATTGTGTATAATAAAATCTCATTTACATACATTTATCAAGCTTTTAAGCCCATATTTAAATATTTGCTTTACTTATATATTTTTAAAACCTCCATATGACACAAACTCAAAACAAAAAAACAAACAATACCTATTTCGTATTGAAATTGTTGTGGTTCGAATTCGCTCAATCGCTCGTCTTTGCACTACGTCCAAAAAACTATAAACTTTAGGCATTGATGGCACAACAAAATAAACAAGTTGACGAGGCCATTGAAATGGCTCAGAATACGCTGTTGGAGAAGCAGGCCGAGGAGAATGGCATAGTGTTGCGAGACTTTGACGGCGTATTGCAGCCAATAATTGAGTCATGTACCAAGGATAGCATTTCCGCAGGTAAATATGAAGGCTACATTAGATAACAATATTTTATTTAGTAGATAAAATTCAAATTTTAGTTCTTCAAACTTTTAGTTATTTTGATTCTATTATTTTATGTACAAGTTATCACTTTTCTATATACTATATAAAATGTACTTTTAAAACTTGCAAAAATGTTAACAAAATGAAGTAACATTTTTGGTATTGCAATTTTAGGCAAAAACTGGATATTACAGCATTCATCCGACAGCGCAAAAAGCAATGTTGTTTTACAATATCTTTTAAAAAAGTATGCGTCAGTTAATTAATTACTTTATTTAATTAATTTATTAACTCATAACCAAATTTCTCTTCCATTCGTGGTGACCAAGACGTACAATAGGAGAACATTCCGCCTGACCCTTATTAACTTACATACAAATATAAATTTTTTTGTTTCATTATCTTGCTCCCTTAATCGTTGCTTATAAGAAAAAGAAAAAAAAACAAAGAAAAAATCAAACTCGTTAAGTAAAAGCTAAAAATTAATCTTGACTTGAATATTACCAGTATTTAAGTGAGTGCATGCATCAAATACAATGTACACGCTAAAATACTGTTAAACACATTTGAACCACATTTAACTATTTTTATCACTATCTAAAATTCTTACAAATGTATTTGCGTTTTGAAGTAGAAAGTTGATTCGCGTTAAAAATTAGAATCTATATACAGATAAATCAAATAACAGTGGGCAAGAGACACGGAAAATATCTTTGTAAATTTATTTTTAGGGCTTTGGTCAATGGTTCAACGTTTCAACAAAAATTGCATCTTATATATTTAGTAAATGATATACTTCACCACTGGTAAGTTACACCCAAATATTTTTTTTTTTCTAAAATTAGATTAATGTGTGCAATCATGTTAAAATTTTTAAGAAAAAATATTAAATTAAAAATAATCAAACTTTTCACAAAAAGCACGCGTTTAAAAATAACGGTTTAAATTAAATAAAAGGCAACTTAATAAATTCGCTCAACAAAAATTTGGCAAAATTACAAGAAATGAAATATTGTTCTAATTAAAACAGCAGCCTTGACCATAATACCGAATTAGCTATGCGAATTGCAACTCTTTTTACCCGTTTCAAACAAATTATCTTTACCATTTACTTCAACTTTTCAGCGTACGCAAGAATTCTCATGACTTGAAGAATAACTTGGAAAATGTGGTCATACCAATGTTTTGCAGCGCTGACTTAAGTAAGTTTTGTCAAAGCATTGCCTCAAACTCCTCAACAAACGCGATTACTACGTTCTATTTCCCTTTTCTGCAGTTGCCAGTACGGAGCAGCGTGCGAAATTAACAAAACTTCTATCACTATGGGAATCAAAGGCGAAATTTTTCGACGCTTGCGTCATATCGAAGCTGCAGTCGCCAGATTCGTCAATGCAAGAATACAAAACTAATTTGCAAAATTTACACCAAGATATTGTTACGAAATTCGCACAAACCACTAAGGCCACACTTGATAAGTATGGAAGTTATATATGTAGATTAGAATTGAAAAATTCTTTTTCTTACGTGTACGTAATTTTTTCTTATATCATCTATGTACATATGTGTGTATGCATATCACTCTAGCTACCAGAAGCAACATCAAATCTTCATCCAACATGCAACGCAACAAATCACCCAATTGGAGCAACAGAAGCAACCATTGGAACAGCAAATGTTGGCATCGGTATTGCCCAATGCAGCTGCGATTTTGCCGGCAGTCGCCGCGTTACCTCCACAACAGCAGCAGCAACAGCCCATTATTCCGAAGATTCCACCGCTTATGGCGCAGAAGGTGTCCATGCCAGATGATGATGATGAACTTATGAAACCGCCTGGTGTTGATGATAATAGTTATGGCGGTGTTGGGAATCATCACTATCAGCAACAACAGCAATATGACAACAACATAAATTTCGTTCCACCAAGTGGTCCGCAGCAAAATAACTTTGCGCTCGACAACATGCCGCAGCAGGGAGGAGCGGGGAATTTCTTTATACCGGACATGTCAAAACCGCCTCCAGGTTTTGCGGGCAACGCTCCGCCCAGTGTCGTTGGCAACAATCAAATGCCGGCGGGCTTGCAACAGCCATTTGGCCAAATGAACAACATTCCGCACTCTGCCAATAATAATAATGGTAACGTAGGCGCTGGCAGCCTTGATGGTGCGAACCTAAATTCAGCTGCTGCCAATATTGATGTACTAGCGTTAAACGCAGCCATACAGCTTGTGTTGAAACAAAATCAACAACTACAAAACTCTCATCAGAATTTAGAGGCATCTGGGCAGCAACATCTAACACTACCAGAAATTCAATCAGATTCGCAGCAATTAACACAAACTCAAATGCCGCCGCATCACATGCTTGACAATGATGAGATTTCTCCGCCAATGGGTCTCATGCCGTCCGAAATGGAAATGGAGGAACAAAAACCATCAGCGCCTTATTATGACTTGCCTGCTGGATTGATGGTGCCATTGATACGTTTAGACGACTATAACTACAAGGCTTTGGATCCGGCTGATATACGCTTGCCACCACCTGCGCCACAAAGTGAACGTTTGACCAATGCGCTAGCGGCATTCTACGCACCACCAACGCACGATCGGCCGCGTGATACGTAAGTAGTTAAAATATACACATACATACGTATATTAATTCATTCTCCTCACAGCGAGGGTTGGGAAAAGCTCGGTCTTTACGAATACTATAAAGTGAAAAATGCGGCGAGAAAACAGAAAGAGGATGAACTACAAAAAGGTGAACGCGAAAAAACACGTTCGCCTTCCCCTATCGTCCTGGAAAAACCCAAAACAAAGAAATCTAATAAGCGCTGCTATCGGTAAGAAAATTTACATACTTTTATTGAAAAATTTATTAGACACTCACCCATATATTCGTAAAAACATGCAGATCGAAAAGTCGCAGTCGTTCAAAGTCACGATCACCATACCGATCACCACCGCCTCCAGCGCGTCCATCAAGACGCAATCGCTACAGCCGACGTAGTCGTTCACCTAGAAGGTCACCACAGAGAGATAGAAATGAACGAGAGCGCGATGCTTCAAACAGTAGTCGCGAAAATCGATCAGAACGAGCCAATCCACGTCGAGAGCGCTCTGTCACTCCACCAAGTTTCTTGTATGTACATTTTGTGTTTACCAAAAGTGCTGTGATTATTTTAATGAAATTTCCCTTAAATTGCTTTGAATATAGTGGTGGAAATTTTCCAAAGCCCAATGAGTTTATCGAGGAATCTAATAAGGGCCATCAAATGTTGAAAAAAATGGGTTGGGCTGGCTCAGGCACTGGTCTAGGCTCAAAGCAACAGGGCATCGATCAACCTATTTCAGGAGGCGAAGTACGCGATCGCAAAGACATGTTTAAGGTAAAAAATTATATTCTAAGGTTATAAATTGTAGATGAAAAATTTCTTTATACCAAAATATATTTTGTACTTGCAGGGTGTAGGTGTTAATATGAACGATCCCTTTGAAAACTTCCGTAAAAATAAGGGTGCAGCGTTTGTGCATCGAATGCGTGCACGCGATGAAAAGAGTTAAATTAATTTTTTATATTTTTTCATAATATCCATACACATATTATTTAAAAGGCTAAAATATTAATAAAGTTAAATACCAACCTGGAATGGAAACATGTTGAACGTAAGCTAAATACTCTCATTTTTGTTGTTGGTATTTCCGACAGGGTAGGAGTGTGATGTAATGTGGAACGATTTTCCGTCGTCTCGAGAACGAAAAATGACACTGAAGATGGCACAACGCCGAAACCGGTTTGTCTCCAAACCAAATTTGACAAGGGATGACGGAAAATCGTTCCACATTACATCATAAGCTAAATACGTTTATACGTTTAATTGTGGAAAAATACGTCGTAATAACCTTAAAAGAAATTTGTCCCAACACTTTATTGGTAACAAATATCTAGAGCTGCAATCTTGGCATTCGTTACAGCTCAAAAGCTATATATGTACTATAAACTAATTTCAATTTATTGCTACGCCTCCACGTTGAATGCTGTGTTTGCCGCTTTTGCATTTACCTTTTCAAGTACTTGTTTCAGTCCTTTGCCTGGTCCACATTCGAAAGTGCGTGGAAAATCTACACCTTGGCGTCGCTCGTACATTAAATGCATGGTCTGCTCCCACCTTACCGGGCTTACAATCTGAATATGTAATTTATGAACTCGATATTAAATGACTTATGTATGTACATGTACTAATTATACTCACTTGTTTGGGTAGTTGACGCAGTATATGGGCTGCATTTCTGTATGGCTTACCATCTACATTCGAGTATACCCGTATTAGCGGGTCTTTTATTTGAATCTTCTTAAGTGCATTTGCAAAAGGTTCCACAGCTGATTGCATAATGGGTGTGTGAAAAGCTCCACTTACTTGAAGTCGTTTCAAACGTCTTATTTTTAATGCCCTTGCATTCACCTCGATGTATTGTAAAGCATCTTGGTTACCCGCAATTACTTTGCAATGAGGGTACATGTAGTTGGCGACACCACAGTATGGCGCTTCCACACCACGCTCCAAACACCATTGTTGTGCCTTTGCGCACACAGTACCAACTTGAGTATCTGGTCCATATAGTATTAGTATCATACCACTTGGCACAGCATCGCATGCCGCTTGCATTGCATTGGCACGAACCTGGACTAGACGCAATGCCTTATCGAATGGGAGCGCACCGGCAAATACTAATGCTGTAATCTCGCCTAAACTGAAACCAGCCGTAGCAACACAATTGTCAATAGCACGTGGTCGTTCTTCACGCAGTTGCTCCAATGCGGCCAGGGACGACACCATCACCGCCAATTGGGCATGTTCCGTTCGATTTAGTTTATTGCTTGGCCCCTGAAGGCATATCTTGAGAAGATCATAACCCAACACTTCATTTGCTAGTTCAAAAATGGATCGTGCTGATGGAAATCGCATCAATTGATCCGCCATGCCAACATATTGAGTTCCTTGCCCAGGAAAGAGTACAATGGAAGTTTCTTTAGGATCAATAGCACGCCTTTTTTGCAAATCACCTTCCAAGGCATTTACTAAATGCATTTGAGACCGTTTTTGTGCATTGGTGGACGGTGATTCCGGTGTTGTCTTCTGCATGCCAGGATCAAGATTCGTTTTTCCGATATCTTGGCTATTAAGTCGCACACCTATACCTTGAAATATGGCTTGAACGGGAGCTTTAAACGGCAAATTCGCGATGATTCCTCTTCTCAGCAACATTTTTTTTTTATCAAATTGAGGTTTTCGACCGGCAGACTACACAGCAGCTGATGGCCCCGCTGAGAACAGTTGCTGCTACGTGTGTTGCCAACGACTATTGTTGAAAAAAGTAGAAGAAAAATACATAAGTAAAAAAAAATCGTCCGTAACTAGTGTTATCTTAAAATTAAAATTAAAATTAGATGGACTTTTTCAAAATACCGAGGATAAGTGGTGGACATTTAAATATAAGTTTTGAAAAAGCGAATTTATGTTATCGGTTTCGATAATCATTGGTCGATTTGTGATCTTTTTAAATGCAACTCTGTTGAGATCACTATGCCTCATATTTCAAAGGGGCAAAACAAGCGAATGTGTCTCGAATTGCATCGGAATGTAAAAAGGACAAATTATTTGTTTTTTGCTTAATTACTCAGCCCGTTAGACCACCCCTTGGTGCACCACTGTGTACGCATGCAGTTAACGGGATGAAGGTAGTCGTTGTAACAAACCCATGGTTGCCATAGGAATTGCGTTGGAGTAATTTTAATTTCAGTGTCTCGAAGAGCTTTGTCCTTTTTTGTAATACATATTTGTTTATACGTATTTACACTAAATATAAAACTATTTTTAAAACTGCGAATAGTAAATATAGTTAAAATGTCACAACGCACAATATTGGAGGTACAAAATGACTTGGCGCGGAGCAGCGCGCACGGCAGGGAAATTGTTTGGGACTCGTAAGTGATCTATAATGCATAATGTGGAATGGTTATGTAAGACAAATATGTATACCATGTACATACCTTTCTTATTGCAGCTTATCTGCTGAGCAATCTCAGATTTTAAAGGATAAAATCAAAAGCATTCTTCCAGATGATAATCAGCGTCACATTGAAGTGGAGAAGGCTCGTAGCAATCTCTTTCGAAATGTTTGGTCACAAAGTAATCATTTTTATTTCTAACAAATCGTATATCAATTAACTTCTTACATTTATTGCTTTGCAGGGAAGCATACTAATCGTGTTCTACTGTCCGCTATTATTTACGTAATGGTAACTGAAGAAAAGGATCATGAATTGGCCAAACACTCAACCGACTTCACTTTTCATCCCGTAATACGCACTCGCAAATGCTTGTGTAAGTACATTTAGTAAATAGATATTTTATTACGCCTCTTTTTTTGAAAGCATAGCTCTGTTGTGGGAAAACTTATTAATATTCTTGAATAATAATTTCAAAGCATCCAGTAACAGCTCTGGCTGCTGTATGATTTTTATTGACGAACATTCGCGGATCTATCAAAATTGGCAGCAGTATTTGAAGAACAATATACTTCCTAGTGGCACAATGATTGCACCATCGAATGGTGTTTATACATTAACCGAGTATGAAGAGGTGCATATATAGCAGGGTTTAAATTGTAGATTTGTTTATTTTTATTTTATCAATTTCACGGCAGGTCGAACTCGAAACACGCACCACTCTTAACACCAAATCGATCAGAAAACTTGAGACCGCTATCGGAGTTGGTGGACTAATTTCGGGTACTGCACCCCTTGCACTTTCAATGGTCATGCCGATTGCGGCGCCCGTAATGTTAACCGCCGCAGCAGTGTCATTGGCTACGAGTGCCTATTCAACTGTACGTTCAGCAACATATTTAACAGATCGTTATAAACACGGGCAATCTAATTCTCTGGCTGACCGCGAGGCTCGGAGTAAATGGCTAGGAGTAGCGGGTGGAGTTGCCGGTTTAGGTGCCTCAGGTGCTATGAATGCGTTGGCCTATGCTAACTCAGCCGGTAAAGGAGTTCCATTGGTATGAAAGAACTTAGCATTAAACTCAATATAATTAATTACTTGTATATATGTATGTATGTACATATGTAGATGGCAAAAGTAGCTGTTGGCGGAATCAATGTATCATCACTTGTACTCTCCGGTACTGACATAGTAAACACCATTTATGATTTATATCTGGTAAGCAATACAATATACATACATATGTACATTTGGGGATTTAAAATAAGTGCGGGACATTTTGACAAATTTTGCCTATTTTTTTTTTTTTGCTGATTAAATCTATAATTTTTTATAAAAGTCTATGTAGCTCATAATCTAACAAATACCAAATTAATCCGATTTTTAAACTTTGTACAATATTATTAAAAAGCTGCAATTTCCCCAAAATTTTAAACTTTTCAGTCAAAATATTTACAATAATTTTATTTTAGTATAATAGAGTGTAAGTTTCAAGTTCAAAAATCTCGAGATTCTGGACAATTTTGATTGCCCACACGCATTTTCTTCCATATTAGAAAGAAATCTGTTTATGGAAGAAAATGCACAACATCGTCAACTAAAAAAAATGCCAAAAATCCTAGCTTACTTACACTTTAATATACTAAATTGAGTGGGCTACAAAACAGTATACCAACATTTTTTTTTTAAAGATTCTGATAAAAAAGTTTGAAATTTTGGTAAAATTTTGCAGGATTTTTATAAATTTTGCAAAGACTGAAATTTCAATTTATATGGTTTTTGTGAAATAATGAACAATACTATGATAAAGAAACATTTAATAATAATAAAAATAAAAAAAATGCCAAAACTGGTGAAAATGTCGCACACCTATCTTTTATCCATTCGGTTACATAGATAATGACCACAATTAATAGGTATGTATGTATGTATGTATACTAACATCACTTGATTATTTTATTCATAGCAAAGATACGATGACGGTCTAAATAGTTTAGATATTCTACAAGTGGCGTCTTCTTTGTTGGTTTTTACGCATTCAATTAACAATTTGGCACTCGTATCGAAGATGCCAACAAGAGGAGGTAGTGCATCGATTCGCCGAGCAATCCGCCGACAGACAAGGTAATTAAAAAACATATTGCTTTAAAAAATAAATGTCTATCAATTATACTTAACAGAAACTCATACGATAAAATTTCGAATGAATGCATGAGGATGAGTAAAAATGTTACAAAAATGGATTTAATACGTTTGGTAAATAACATCCCTTCAAAGGAAGCTTTTATTCAACAAATTGGAAACTTATTGGCACAAGCCACTGCTGGCACAGTCGTTGGTAATGCAGTCAGTGCGCTCCCACTGCTTATAACTTATACTGCGGAAGGTGAACTAAATCCCATACAGTTGCTCGCTGCGGCGGGGTTCAACTTTGTTCGCAATATTTTGGATTCCAACAGTTTTATCGACTTAATTGGCACCATGGCTAATTTTATGAGCGAAAGAGGCTTTTATTTATTGCTGAATTTAACAAGAACTTTTATGGACGAATACGGTGATAGCATAAATAGTGTTCTTCGTACCTTCATACCCACTGAAAAGGTGCTTTATGAAGCTTTCATGTTGTGCGTCACAAAATATTCTGATCTCACATACGAATTTCTCGAAAGTAAACAAATCGAAATACTCCATGAACTTGAAAATTACTTTTATTCTCTTAATCCCATCGATGACAGTAATAAATCTTATGCCTGCAAAATATGTAATGGATATTATTATGATTGTCCTACATAATTCATTTAACATATGTATTAACTAATTTTTTTAAATTGATAAATAAAAATATACTAATTCCTTTTTGATACTAACGAAAATTATCTATTTTTGGTTATCTATGGGTTATTACTGAAAGAGTGAAATGCATATTGAAAAACATTATAAGCTAATTGAGATTCGAAGCATTTTAAATACTTTGGAAATTCTATTAAACTCGAAAATTGTGTCTCGAGTTTTTGGCTTGTGAGTAGAAGTTAGTGGAATTCAAAGCTTTTATGAAAAGGCTTTTTTGGAGAATCATATTTTGGGAATGCCACTTAAAAAATGTATATTGAAGTCCGAAAAATGTTTTTTTTTTCTTTGTGAATGTTCAACTAACGTAAAGTGCCCTTTAGCCCACTGTACTGTTGATAAATTCCCAAACCGATTCGTATTTGGTCCCAAATCTAAGAAAGCTGTCTGAAGAGACATGTCAAAATAACTAAAATTTTTGGAAGGTAAAATTTATTTTTGAATGGATTGAAAATATTTATTGTACTGCAAATTGAACATTAGTCAACCTTTAAATTTAAAAGCTCCAAAAAGAAATTTTTGCTGCATTTCCAGTGATTTCCAGCTCGTCTTTTTTTCACAATTGCTCATGTGGCATGACATTTATCGGTTTTTGTTGCTATTCCCGTTTTTGTTTTTTTTTTTCTTTTTGGCCCAACTGACAACCCTGGCAACGATTTGCGTCAGAAGTGTGTATTGCGTGAAAAAGTCATATTTGGTTTTTGGTGAAAAATGTTTTGGCTGAAAAAAAATTACACATGATATTTAATTCTTTTGTTTAAGTAGAAAACTATTGCAATTAAAAATTTTGAAGAGATCATTCGTGTTTTCAAGTTGAGTCTAAAAGAAATACGGAATCAGCAGTGCCCCATCCATGATTGGATGTGAAAGAAAAGGCGTCACAATTTAATAAATCTTCCTTGGCTGATGCAGGGACCAACTGATTTGATTTAATTAAATGACTATACTAGTTTAAATTTTTGGAAATGATTTAAAAAGCTTATTAGTTACATCAACATCACACGATCCAACGTGTCGTGTATTTCGATTTTGCACTGCAGTTTTGGATGAGACTTCATTTGGCCTTGCTTTGTCAACTTTGTATTTGCTAAGTTAGCATTGAAAAAGATGGGTCAGGTGTTTCGATCAGGGTCAGCATTGCTTTCACATCGTGATGGTCATAAAGTATCCAAGGCCACAGAGGCACGCATACAGACGTTATTCGAAATATTACGGGCTAATCCTAAAGTATCAATACAGACATTGGAGAGCCTTTTGCTGCAAATTCCAAAGGTGAGAATCAATAAATATCCAAAGCAGTATATTTGCGCAAATATAACACATAACATTTTTAGAATGAAAATATTCTGGTAATACATGACGACTGCGGATACAATATACTCCAACGCAGTGTGGGTCTTAACCACATTGACCTCACCAAGTGGTTGCTACACCGACACCGGCCGGATGTTAACCGCAGTCCCTGTTCACTGCCATTGCACATAGCATGTTTGAAAGGATATGAAGAATGCGTCGAATTGCTTTTAAAGCATGGGGCACGAATCGACACTGATTCACGAATGTGCTTTCCAGGCGTACACTCGCACAATTGTGAGGAAAGCGGCAAGTACCATGGCAATTATGATGATGTAGGCGCAGCGCCAAACGTATGTGAACGCGTTAATACGAAACTACAGAATGCAGTTTGCTACGCTATTGATGGTGATCAGATTAATGTGCTAAATATATTGGCACAAAAAATGGAGGATCCTTGGGTATTGATTTGAATCGATTGCCACAGCAAGCAGTTCTCAAGTGTTGCTTTTGTTTTTCTTGCAGGTACCCTTTCGTGTTAAAAAACCACTATTGCACTTGGCATGCGAACGTGGAGCCTGGAATTGTGTACAACAACTGGTTATCACACGTTCGGAGGAAATTAATTTAATCAAAGACGAATATTATCCCATTCATCAGGCTGTGCTACATGAAGGGCGCTTCTTGGAGCTTTTAATACAGCACGGTGCCGTGACCACAGTACGCACGTGTACGCAACAAATGACACTCTTGCACGTTGGTATGTTAACAAAAAAGTAATTTTTGAGTGAGCTTTTCTTGACTGATCGCACTGCATTATTTTTTTTATAAAACTCGTTACATACTTTCTTAATATATACAAATTCTTAATTTTCTCTAAATTTCAGTCATATTCGCAGCGCGCAAGTCTGCTGAAGATACTTTAAGTACCTTACGAATTTTGTTAGAGCGTGGATGCAAGGAGCTTATCAATGAACCCGATTCTTTGGGCAATACACCGTTGCATGCATTGATAGTGCGTTATGCTCTAGAGGAGGCGCGGTAACTAACAAACATCCACGAATATACAATATCTACATTTTTAATTTATATAAAAAATTTTATCACAGTTATGGCTATGATAAGTGGAGTAAATGGGATGTGCTGCATCTTGTACGTTTTCTGCTGCAAAACGGTGCAAAGAGCTCAATTAATCAAACAGGCAATAGCGCACTGGCGTGCGTCTTCCGGCACGTTCGCGACTGGGAAGTATGTTTTGAATTGCTGAACATGCTCATCAAAGAAGACGGCGATCCGAATATTGTTGGACGGGACGGTTCAGTACCAATAATGGTACTGCTTGTTCCATTAATTAACAAGGATCAACTGCACCATTTTACGCATTCTATGAAGGTAAGTCCAAGTTTACTGAAATATACAGGGTATCTAGATCACCCCTCCAACCCCTCTAAAATGGTGGGAAATTTTTCTTTATTGAAAATCGCTAAAAAATTTGACCTACTAAATCGAGGGTGTTTTATCTTTCGGGGCTATTACCGGAAAATGTGTTACCAAGTTGAGGATGCTTTGTGTTTTGGTTGTATTACTGACTTCTGGTTTCGACCGGAAGTTTATTAAACTGACCGGAAGTCCATTTATTTAAATGGCTTATACATACCTTTTGTCGGAACCGAAAGTGGGTTAAATTAACCAGAAGTATATTTTTTAAGATTCTAGGCATAAACATACGTTTGTAACTTTTTTCTTTGAAAATGGACTTCCGGTTATTTTAACTCACTTCCGGTTGAAACCGGAAAAAAAATTCCGAAAAAAGGTATGCACTTTTATGGACAGGAATCGAATCTGTGGCAAAAACAAATATATCCCATTTAAATAAATGGACTTCCGAGCAGTTTTACCCACTTCCGGTCGAAACAGGAAGTCGGTAATACCACCAAAAGATAGAGCCTCCCCGATATAGTAGGTCAAATTTTTGCGGCTTTCAATAGAAAAAAAAAAACCATTTCCCACATTTTAGAGGGGGTGGACGGGTGTTCTAGGACACCCTGTATACATTTGTATATGTTGCTCTTCTCATATCATATTTACTATGTACATAATTTTTCACTAACTACATTTATATTAATTTCAGGTGTGCTATTTGAATTGCATTCGAATACTTTTGCAATATGGTGCCAATCCAAATTGCTCGTATCGCTCAAATTTGACACCTCTTCATGTTTTGGTATTTACCGTTAGTGAAAACTTTACGCTTAATTGTGATGCACAAAAACGAACAAATTTCGATTTTATTAAGAATATATTGTTGCTACTACTGCAACATGGCCTGGACTGCAATCAAACATATCCGCACATACTTCAAGCCGTATGCGATATGGTACAAAATGTGCGCAACTGCTCAGATATGCAATGCATCTACGAGTTAAGTCTCACTCTCATACAATATGGCGCTGATCCCAATATAGTGCTCAGTGGTCAGGCGACAACAGGTAGCGCTATATTCTCCAACGAAATTGCTAGCTTTGGCGAAGCCCTCTGCAGTGGAGGCGCCGGCAGTGGTGGTGGTGGTGGTGGCAATAACAATGGCGCAGGCGCCGGTACAAGCAATAATGGTGACAACTCATTTCGCAACTCGTTTCGTACACACTCACGTTACCTGCTATTTTATTATATAATTTTAATTACAAAAAAAGAATTTATTCTCAATGATCCAGCACTGACCTTTACGCGCATTATACATTTGTTTTTCTTGACTATGCAACATGGACCATTATATAATTGCCTTAAGTCATTGCACAACTTTTATGTGGCGCAAGTGCCAAACAAAAAGACGGAACAATTGATAACATTGATTTCTGCTTTGTATCGCAAACCGCGTAGTCTTAAACAAATGGCGCGTATCGCCATTTACGAGGCGGTTAATCGTAAGCTTGCACAGAATGTTAATCGTCTCAATTTACCCGGACCGCTGAAGGAGTATGTGTTACAGTTCGAGAGATAACAAGTGCAGCGCACTGTGGAGTCGAACAGAAATGCACTAATAGTCGAAATAACTTCCCAGTTCCCACCTTACTCTCCTACACCTCCTTTCCATTAAACAAAACAATCATTTAAACCAGCAACGATCTACAAAAATCAATTGAATAAATATTAGTTATTAATAAAATTGTAAAATAGTTTAAGGCTTAATGTACCTAAATACATATTAAAATTAAAATGTCAGCGTAAGATTTAAATTTGCTTTTCAAATGTTATATATTAAATGGAAAAAAAAACTAACTATGAGAAATAATGAACAAATGTTCATGAAATGTGTAAACACAAATTATGTAAAAATCGAACCTCTTCTAAAAGTTGTGATAAGTTTTATTATTATTTTCTAATGCATATTCAAAAAATATTTATGTATGTTGTATATGCATATGTTCTGAAGGTATCCATTAAATTCAATTTAAAAAACAAAACTCTTGTTCATACATACATACATACATATTTAAAATTATATAAAATTTATGAAATAAATACATCCTAGCATCGTTAAATAAAAAATAAAGCTGCCACTTCCATTGAAAATTAAACTTACCTAAAGAATTGTTGGTTCATCCACTTGGGGAAGTATTATTTTATAAACAAACATGTGTGTTTGCGTGTTTATTATGGTCAACTTGCAGAATTGTATTGTGTAAAATTCGCGTTGATTTTTAGTAATTTCTTTTGTGGACGGTCTTGAACATTTTCTTCCTTTAATGTTCATATATGGTGGGGAAAATTACAACTTACGGTCAACAAAAAAAAAAAAAAAAAAAAATCAACGCAAATTTTGAGCTTTAAACATGCACTATAGTACCTAAACTTGATGGGCTATAAACTGCATACCCAAAAGTTCTCTAAAAATTCTGGTTAAAAAGTATGAAATTTTGATGAAAATTGCAAGAAGTTTTCTAAATTTTATATAAAGTGGTTATATGTAGCACGAACAGTATTTTTATAAAAAATGAGAAACCAATTTTAACTTTAAAAAAATATTTAAAAGTAATCATGATTCGAACATTTTACAGTAGTATGTACCTATAGCGATTTTTTCGTAGAAAGTTTTGACTCCTTGACTCCTTAATCGGTGTTTTGAGCCGTATTTCGAAGAAGTCCCATTTACATAAGTAAGCAGTTTGAGGGTTCTACAAAAATGTTAAGCATAAAACTTTACTAGGCATCGCCAATAATGAGAAGGTCAAGAATTCCGCTAAATAATTTCGCAAAAATATTAAAATCGATTTGGAAATACTTTCAGAAATCTCATTATTTTCTAAAGTAATTTTTTAGAACAAATATTTGTAAAAACTAATTTTAGTTACAAAAAACACGATTTTGGAGGTATAAATCTTAATTTTTTCAGAAATATTTGTTTGGCAGAAGTCTCAAAATATAATAGACTTCATAATTACGATGGAAAAATGGTTTGTATGGAGAGTGATGCACCCTAATGTACATATACATGTACACAATGCAAGAGATCATCACAGATATTCCACTGCACGGAACATCCTAATATCCCCCACGAAGTGCAATACCAAGTTGTTCACCACTTAAACGAACGAGTTGAAGTCCGGCCTGAAGAAGCTATAAAGGATCATGGCTCAAATATCCCGACCGAAAACTACACAAAAATGCTGCGTGTTACGTTCGATAGCCGCCTCTTTTTTGGCATACGCTAACACGATCCAGCTTCGCAGCAGAAACATTATCCTAATTACCAGTTTGCGGGCAACGCCGGACGGTAGCAGGCAAATTACGCCGCCCTTTTAACGGCCTTAGGCACCAGTGATACGTAGTCGACAAATCTTCAAGCCCATCAGAATTCGGTCTTCTGTACAACGGTCGGGAGACTGCTCATGCCATCGGAACAACGACTGCACGTTAAGGCAGAAATGCTGTCAGTAACGAAGTGCAACCAATTTGTGTCGACAAAGTTTCTGACACAGGGAAAACCGCTCCCAAATTCAACTTAATCAGCAGAACCAACGCCGAGAACCGAGAAGACAACCAAGCAGTCACATCCGCAAACTCCACACGCCATGGACCCATCGTACAGGGAGACCACGACCAAAGCAAAATCTTGCCGAGCTAGAGAAGAGGCGGACATTACTTCGCACCTCCTCGATTGACCCAACAGAGGGAACGCATGTGATCTCTCAGTGACTTTACCTAGGAGAGTTAGATGGGTAAAATGACTTAATAGCCAGTTTGCAAGACAAGCGGAAGTTATTGCCCTTATTTGAGCTTCACCGTGACGATTTGGTAATGTAAAACTAAGACTGTGCAAAGGTTATCGAAATACTACAGTACCCACCCAATCTACGTTGTAAATTCATCATTGAAATTACAAACCTTCTAGCGTCTTCTTCGGTCCTCACGCTGCCCACACGTGCATATTCTAGATTTTGCTCTGAATATTTAATTCTCTTGAAAGCATCTAGGGCTTTCTTAGCTCCCCAACCACTTTGTCTAAAACTTCGCGCGGCCTAGAACAGATAGGTGGTTCTTTCAATTCCTTGAAACCTTGGAAACCTGGAAAAACCAACCTTCACTGGTCTGAAGACTCAATCCTGTTAGTTCATTGATGTTAGACGTGTGTATTTTCCACAAGTGCTGTCGAAAAATTAAGAAGGCTTATGTCACCGTTATCTGTATGAAAATAGTAGGAACATTTATCTTACTTGTGGATTGCGAAAGTGCATTTCGACGGCTGAGTGGATGATTGACCTATTTCGGCACGCCCTATCTCAGAAAACTTTTCAAGAACGCCCTATTTCAGAATTTGCTTCAAGAATGCCCTATTTCAGAATTCGGTTCAACTGAAAATATGTTGAGATAGGCCGTTTCGGAACCGGCTGCCGAGATAGGTCGATATTCTACTCAGCCGTCGATTTGTACCCAATGTCGGTTAAACGCTCTGTCAGATACACAGAGGCATATTTAGGCTTAAGCCACGTGATTGTGATTCTCGTCTTTTTTGGTTATGCTTATGGATGAAAGCGTCCGTTTTCTATGGGCTCTTTTTCATTAAACCTGAACATTGAACGACAGTTACAAGATTAGGGTCCAATGTTAGGGTGTTACGGTAGGTAAAGTTATAAAAGTGGGTACTTTCAAAAGTATTCTATAGAAATTGAAAAAACTCTCAACCCACTGTTTTATATTGACTACGAAAGACGAAGGGTTTTAGGCATAGAGATGCTTGCAGAACTACACCTACACAGGGGCTCATAAAAAAGTTTCTGTCGCCCCCACCCGGACGCCATTTGTTGTGCTAGACGTGGCCTACTGCTCGGTAGGACCCAGACTCGAGCTCTCATCCGAAAAACATTTAAGCACTTTTTAGTTCTGGTTAAAAAGCTGCTCACAGAAACCATTTAGCGTTGGGAGTTCCTTCGATTTTTGCGACAGCATCAAGGCACACTGAGAAAAATGCCACAAATCGAAGCCGGCTACCTTGACTACGATAACTTCATTGGTTTCTCAACCATGCAAGTAATCAAAGGCTTTTAGCTCTCCATTGTATTGCGTCAAATACATGGCAACAAAATAATAGGTGCAAATTCATGCAAACGTGTATCGTTTCCAAGCAAACTTTCGAACCAAACAACATCTATCAAACTGAGAAAATACTGGGCTTTTTATATTAGAGATTTTTTTCATTAAATTTTTACGCATTCACATTGATAATTCATAGACTGCAGGGCAATGTTTACAAAAAAACTAGAACGAATGTATCATCCACCGTCCAATCTGAATAAATACGACAATGAAGGCTACATGAAGAATCCACTACTTAAATTTCGGCTAGCCGATGTTCAACGCGAGCGACATTCCCGGTTTTTGAAATACCGCGCCGCCGTCGAAAAAGTCAACCTATGCCGCCATCCACTGCCGCCGGAACCAGATGTCTATGATTTACGCGAAATTGATTACATCGATAATTTACGCCGGCAGGTGCGTAAAATTGAAGTGCCAAAAATGTTGCGGAAAACGGAAAAGAAGATACTCAGTTTTGCACCAAATCGTTTGAAAGGCAAGTACCCCGAACTGGTCGACAACTATATGAAGGATGTGCACGAAGAATTCGATCGCCTCATGAAGATTTACAGCATGAACTGCATACTAGTGCATCCGGAATTCGGCGATGAAGATCCCGCACAGTTTGTGTTGCCGCGAAAAGATTTCCATTTCAAATTACCCGGACGGACAGCAAATTATCCGAAATTTTTGGAGAATAAACGCAAGCTAAGCAAAAAGTTACTCATTGTATATCCACAGGTGCGCTTAATTCTGAATTCTTCCGAATTGGAGTTTCCAAAAACAATGGTTGTCTTAGATCCGGTTATGCTCGGTTCGAGTCATTTGCAGACCGTTGTGGGATTGGGTGGTCGAGAGGCGATGTTCTATAAAACTTTCATAAAATATGTGGATAAGAATTTGGAGGAAGTTGGAAATTTCATACGCTGGAGTTGGTATCCGAAAATGGTGTCGATAATACGTCGACAATTTCGCAGACGTACCGTACCGAATTGGCTAAGATGGCGAATGTTCAAATGCCTGGAAGCGCTAATGAATAGACAAATAAATGAGTTGAAAATAAATACACTAAATGAGTTTCTACGTGTGGGTAGCTTAGAGCGCAAAATTCCAATGTTAAAAATCAATACGGTCTACAATGAAGACGGTAACTCTATAGATTTAGATCCGAGTTTGGAGGCAATATACGACATGTACGATGGCCTGGTGGACGCTGTAGCACAGGTGGTGGCCGCAATAGAGCCACTAGAGCCGCAAATCGATTCAACTTTTCTCAATATGGCAGCTGATTTTCTACGAATTGGCATGAATGAAAACTGGCTTAACGAATTTAAGTTGAAATTAAGAAAGGCCCTACACCGAACATACAAACCGATCCAAGCGTACATTGATGGCTATCAATCCAAATATTACGGCCTCTATTCGCAAAAGGTGCGCGATGAGCTCGATGAGTTTTTGAGAGAATCGCACGAATTTGAAGAGTACTTCCAGCGCATCGAGACCTATTTTAAGTTCATAAATATGTTGCAAAGTGAACCGGAAAATGATTTTTTCGAAATGGTTGTAATATGCAACAAGGCGGCGATTATCTCGTTGCGTCACATTGCCGATAGTCTAATTGCGCGTATCACCGAGCAAATTGTCAAGGAGCATATCAAGGCTGAGGAGGAAATTTGTGCCGGTTTCGAAGATATCAAAGTGAAGGCATTAACTATACCCAGATCCACAGAGGAATTGCTCGAGAGTGCCGAGTATATGATAAGGGTGAAGAAGGAGTTGATATTCGAATTACTCGATCGCATACAATATTGTCTGCAAGTTGGCACAAATCTCATTGAACTAACCGAAATGGAGCCATATCATTTCAATCTTACCATACGCACCATCAATTGGTTGAAAGATATTAATGAAATTTGTGATTATAACGCTTCACAGCAGGAACATTATAAATTCCTGTTCGAGGAGCATTTGCAAGATGTTATAAGGAAATTAAATGAGGATATAGAGGCGATGATACCAAATCTAACGATCATTGACGACATGAGCGAACCGGAACAATTTCGTCATAATTATATACTTTTACAAAACTTTATTAGACAATTGAAGACTTTCGATGACTATGTCCAGTGGATTAATAAGGAAGAGAAGTTATTTAAAATGGCACAAACGCTATATCCTAAGCTGGAAGTTATGAAGGGATTCATAAAACCATTTGCAGAATTAATGAAGTGAGTGAGTGTAATTTGGGAGAGTTCTTAGCGATTTTTGTTATACAAATTTTTCTTAATGGTTCGGCAAATGAATTCAACTTCGCGAGACAAATAATTTGCGTAAAAATCTAAAATTTACATATTTCTAGATACAAAATAATAGTGTATTTTCATATACTTTCAAATATCTTTGTTAAAGATCTTGCATTGAATGGATGCGCTACCTAAATGTTTGGATGTATGGACCTTTCGAGTATCTGGAGCCGAAATTTGTCGAAGAAACCACAGATGACTTCTTAAAAGAGTTCCAGAAAAATCAAAAATACTATCGCGTGAAAATTCGACAAGATCAAATAGAAAATCCGATATGCATGTTCAGGGTAAGCTAGAAGATTATGCGTGACTTTTTTCTCTAACGCAAGATTAAGTTTAAAAGAATACATAGAAGAAGAAGATAGAAACACAGGTTGTCATATATTCAAAGTATAATCTCTCTCACAGTACAACTCTATACTAAATTTTTCAATTCTGCAGAGGAGAACTCAAAAGGCTTTTCAGACTTTCAGCGCTCAATTCGGCACATAAAACTTATAACTGGATAAGGCGCTGAAAGCTGGAAAAATCTCACATATTAATCTCCGACTATTTATAAACAGCTATATGCCCCACATATATGTATACATATTTATATTGATAGGGGTCTAAATACTATCCTTTTTAACAGTAGATAGAACCCAAATCCAGTTTTTCAGACTTTCAGCGCCCCAATCAGGTTTAACGGCCATGGAGTAAATTATATTCATTAAGATAGCAACTTGAATTACTCCTATTAATGATTGAAAATAAAAATACCATTCGAGAACACAATGAATTACTGCTTGGAAAAGCAATGTAAAAATGACCTCACTCTAAAGAACTTGGTCAAATGTCCACCGATATATGGTTAGTGTGTGTGCTAGGTCAGCGTAATTGCATGGCAAACCAACTTACGAGGAAGCGAACCTCTCTGTCTGACGTCAACTCTTCTCACCGCTATATACAAATAAGAGATGATCGACAGCACCCACTTGTAGGACAACCAGACAGATCTGCCCCGGTTTCGAAAAGAGAAAGTCCCACACACTCATTCGCTCTCTACTTTGGCTGGTGCTGGGCCACACAATCCATCGTAGTCCGATGTTTCGTGAAATCTAAGAAAATGCTATCACTGAGTTCGAATAGCCACGAACTTAGCGTATACTTTGAATACAAACGTTCGTAGCAATTCGGGGATGGGGATCCTAAGAAATAATCGTGTATCCCTTCAATTCAATCCAACGTGAGAAGATTACGAATCAAACACATTTCCAGATGCTATATTGCTCAGGACACACAGAAATCGTTTTGAGGTACACTCAGCCCCGACAAGAACAAAATGAGTTATCTTCCCACTGGGCAGGTACTTGCACTACCATCTGCCTTTCGAAGGCGGCGTAGAACTGTAGCTTCCTGAATTTGTATGACAATAACAAGGCGCACACCACATATTTGAGTATGGGCTCGGCCAAACACTTAGCAAGAAATATGGTCGACAAATGAATGTTTTTTTATACATAGTCAAGAAGAGAAGCTTTGCGCCACCTAGGTTTTAAGAAAAGCTTCATCTGTATACATACGTCTTTATACATATCCCCACCAAAATCTATGCACCAAATTTCTCAAGTAAACATATGTACGTCTATTCAAAATTATATCATTCTTCCTAGGGCCAAACAGAAGATCCTGACCCGGAGAAGCATCCTGTACCCATACGACTGTGCACTAAAATGATACAAACAATCAAGAATTTCACCACCGGCGTATTTATCGTGAACATTATGTGCAATCCCGCACTACGTAAACGACACTGGAAAGAGATGTCCGAGATCGCGGGGTTTGATATAACACCTGATGCAGGCACAACACTTAAAAAGATTATTGACATGAATCTGGACACTAAGCTCGATCTTTTTGAAATTATTAGCATTGGTGCAAACAAAGAACTACAGCTACAAAATAATTTACATGCAATGATCAAAGAATGGGACTCTCGAGTCTTTCCTACCGGCCCCTACAAGGACACAGGCGTGATGATACTTTCCAATTTGGATGATATACAGGCATTGTTAGATGATCACATACTCAAAACGCTTACAATGCGTGGCTCAGCCTTCATGAAGCCATGCGAAGAGGAAGTGTTGGCCTGGTATGAAAAGATAATGCGCGTAAATGCCACACTCGATCAGTGGGGCAAGGTGCAGTCGAATTTCCTATACTTGTTACCGATATTCAGCTCGAAAGATATTGTGGCGCAAATGCCGGAAGAAGGCCGTCTGTTTACGGTAGTTGAACAGACGTTTACCCGCAACATGGGTTTGGTGTTGCGTCAACCGCTGGTCATGGAGACCGCGCCCCAAGCCGGACTACTCGAATCGCTAATAAACGCAAATGAATTGCTCGACGACATAACAACCGGTGTTAGTAATTATTTAGAAAAGAAACGACTATTTTTCCCGCGATTTTTCTTCTTATCGAATGATGAAATGCTAGAAATATTATCCGAAACCAAAGATCCATTGCGTGTGCAACCGCACTTGAGTAAATGTTTCGAAGGCATCAATTTGCTCGAATTCGATGCGGAAAAGAATGTGCTGGCGATGATGAGTAGTGACAGCGAAAAGGTGAAATTCGTTGAACAAGTTTCGACCGCTGCCGCAGGTGGCAGTGTGGAAAAATGGTTGGTTGGCGTTGAAGCGGAAATGCTTAAAGCTGTGCGCAACGAAATGGATCGTTCATATGGGCATTATCCGACAGTGAAGCGTTACGATTGGGTACTACATTGGCCGCAAATGGTGGTGCTGTGTGTTTCGCAGGTGTACTGGGCATCCATGGTGCACATGAACTTGCGACGTTCGGCATTGAATCAGATCGCTATGAATGATTTCTTCAGTAGTCTAAACAAAGATTTGAATGACATTGTAGCGCTCATACGCTCAACGCATATAAATAATCTGAATCGCATAACTATTAAGTCGCTGATCGTAATTGATGTGCACGCAAAGGATGTCGTTGAAGAGCTGATACGCATGAAAATAAGCAGTGAATTCGACTTTCAATGGATGGCTCAGCTGCGTTATTACTGGGAGAATGGTGACAGCCTTGTGCGCATAATTAATGCAACGGTACCCTATGCTAATGAGTACTTGGGAAATTCAGACCGTTTGGTAATTACGCCACTCACTGATCGTTGCTACCGCACCCTAGTTGGCGCCTATCAACTACATTTAAATGGCGCACCAGAAGGACCCGCCGGCACTGGCAAAACGGAGACGACAAAAGATTTGGCCAAAGCGCTAGCCGTGCAGTGTAAGGTATTCAATTGTTCTGACGGCTTGGACTACAAAGCGATGGGCAAGTTTTTCAAAGGTTTAGCGTCCTGTGGCGCATGGGCTTGCTTCGATGAATTCAATCGCATTGAGTTGGAGGTGCTCTCTGTGGTCGCACAACAGATTCTACTTATCGTACAGGCTGTACGTGCAAAGGCTGTTAAATTCATTTTCGAAGGCACTGAACTTACACTCAATCCGGCTTGCTATGTATGCATTACCATGAACCCCGGCTATGCGGGACGTTCTGAGTTGCCCGATAATCTAAAAGTGCTCTTCCGCTCGGTGGCAATGATGGTGCCAGACTATGCAATGATTGGCGAGATATCGTTATACTCCTATGGTTTTGTGGATGCACGTAAATTGTCTGTGAAAATCGTGACGACATATCGCTTGTGCTCAGAACAGTTATCCATGCAGAATCACTATGATTATGGTATGCGCGCAGTGAAGACTGTACTCTCGGCGTGCGGAAATTTAAAAAAGAAATACCCGAATGATTGGGAGGACATATTGTTGCTGCGTTCACTGCTCGATGTTAATCTGCCCAAATTCATGTCCTTCGACATACCACTCTTCGAGGGTATCATATCGGACATATTTCCTGGTGTAGTTTTGCCTGAGACTGATTATAGCTTGATTGAGGAGGAATTCCAACGTATTTGCGGTGAAATGATACTTGAACCGACTGAAAGTTTTCTTACCAAAGTCATACAAACTTATGAAATGATAATTGTGCGTCATGGATTTATGTTGGTCGGTGAGCCACTAGCTGGGAAGAGTAAAACACTGCAAGTGCTAGCGAAAGTGCTGTCGGCGCTGAAAATAAAGGCGCCAAGCAAAAGCTCCTACTTTCAAGATGTGCAAATGGGCATAATGAATCCAAAATCTATAACCATGAATCAGTTATACGGCTCATTCGATCCCGTCTCATACGAGTGGAATGATGGAATTATAGCGAAAATATTTCGTGAGTTCGCTATGACTCCCACGCCGGACAGGAAATGGGTATTATACATACAGACGTTTGCGTGCATGCGGTCATTGATGTGATGAAATTTAAATTAAGTATTTCTTCTTTTGGTGCAGGTCATCTTTGATGGACCGGTTGACGCAGTTTGGATAGAAAATATGAACACCGTCTTGGATGACAATAAAAAATTGTGTCTCAATTCGGGCGAGGTTATAACGATGAGCAACGAGATGTCTATGATTTTCGAGGTAATGGATTTGGCGCAGGCATCGCCGGCGACGGTATCACGCTGTGGCATGATTTATATGGAGACAGCTTCGTTGGGTTGGCCTTCGTTTGCGAATTGTTGGCTAAAGAAATGCAACCCCGTCTGGGCTGATGATGAGACCAAGGAGTACATAATGGAGTTTTTCAAATGGCTATTGGAACCGGTACCTAAGCCAACATATTTTGTTGTTATTTTTGTATAGTTATTATTCAAATATTTATTTGTTTAGTGCCAAGCTTTTATACGCAAGCACTGTAAAGAACACATCAAACCAGGTGAATTTAATTGTTTGACCACAACATTTGACATCATTGAAATGCTGCTGGACGACGCGGTTTTGGAGAATCCCGATGAGTATCAAAGACACATGCCAATTTATGTACAAGCATCCATACTCTACTCGTTTGTTTGGGGTGTGGCCGGTGTATTAGATTCAGAAACTAGAGAAAAGTTTGATGCATTTCTCAAAGGTGTAAGTAGTACTAAATTAAACGAAAAGGGTAGGTTCATAAAAAGGGTGCGAAATAGTTAGCGAAAAAATGGTAGAGTTATATTTTTCGCTTTGTGGCGCATTTTATTTAAGACTCGCGAGAGCTTCATTAAAAATATATGTGACTTATTTTTATAAATTTAAGATGTGGCTAGGTGAAGACATACCTGCCAGTATTGGCAAATTGGAAATATCTGTACCCGTGGAAGGACTGCTTGTCGACTATGTGTACGTGTTCAAGCAACGTGGGGCATGGAAATCTTGGGCAGAACTAGCCAAACGCATGGACGTCGAAGAGAACTCAATGGGCGTGCAGGTGCCAACTATAGATACAGCCAGATATATACATATTCTCGAAATGCATATCAAGGTATGGTAACCAAATCGGCATATTTTATTAAAGTGCCATGTGTATTTATCTCTTTTTTTCTCTGATCCTTAAATTTCACTAAAGAAGTATAAATTGTAGGCAACAACCTCCTTGCTATATTCAAAAGATGAGGCATCGTGCACTCTCTTCTTTACATTTGGCACTACAACCGCTTGACGGTTTTTTACCCAGACCAAAAAACTTGCTCTATTTCCGCTCTTCTTACCAAAATGCATCTGTTCCTTTTGTTGTGCGCCTATACGACCTTTGCATTCGTTGTCCACCCACGGGTGTCATATGGAAAAGTGGCTCGTTCAGTTTGCCATTTCATCATCCTCGGTTCTCGTCTCCCACGCTAATAGGGTCACAGATCTTACGTAAAATGTTCTATCGAAACCTCTTAAAGCCTACTCGTCGTCATCATCAAGTATTCTGTGCTATGTATATATCAAGGACGTATATTCAATACCCTCTATCAGTAATTTTCACAAAAAGTATTTTCAGATATTAGAACCGACCTTTGCTTTCAGTTGCCCCACCAAGCTCAAAGTAGCGGTTAATGATACGAGTTTATGCTGGATATAGCTAATTTTATTGTGCTTACTCTTTTCAAGTCAATCTTAGGCTATTAATGAAATTAACCACTTTGGAGGATGTCATGTTCTAGATTATGGATGGAGATGATAAGTCGAGTTATACGCAGGGAATCACATAATATATGCTCCGAGGTTTCCTCCTCTAGCCCACAAAACCTGCAGTTCGTCTCCTCAGAGTCCCACTTTTGTGTAGGTGGTACCCGATGAGAGTACTTAAACTCTCTCTGCTGGGATTTAGCAGCCGCTTAGGGATTTCACGAGAGGGAGTTATTAATCTTTTGGACTGCCTTTTGCCCTTTCCCGTGCGCCATTGGGTTGGAACTTGCAAGTCGTCTCATTCCCTTACGAGCTCTGCTGTGTATCCTCCGAATGAACCAAAAAAGGCTGAGGGCTGATTAGGCTCCGCTTTTCGCCACAGTTTCAGTCCTTCCCTTGCGATTGTGGCCGTAATGGCCCGGAACCGCCTACAAGATAACTTTGTTGTTGCCACTACCTTTTTAATACCCTTGACACCATTTTGCAAGAGTCAAGTGCGCTTAACGCAGCCTGGATATCCGATAAGGTGTTTATTGTTGCCCCATTAGTCCTTCTTCAAAGAACAGTCTTTAATTGCGAAAATTTCCGCCTGAAATATGGTTAGGTATATGCCCATCGGGAAACTTTTTTGAAATCTGGGTCAAACACTACTGCCCCAGTGTTCCCATTCTCAAGTCCAGAACCACCAGTGTACCAAACTTGAGTTCGCTCACTGAACATTGCGATTATCGTTTAAAAGGTATCCCTTTTAGATATTATTATCTTCTAGGGCTTTATAAAGGTCAGCATCGGTGGCCTTGAGTCTGTGAGTTTTACTATGGGATTATGAATGATTTTTGGTTGGTGGTGGGTGTCCCAAGTGACCCCTTGAGTTCCCACTTTTCAAGCTTCTTAGGTTCGGCAGTCTCAGGGCGCTCCAGCAAGCCTCTTTCTCTATAAGTGTAGCTAGAGGCAGTATGCAAGTGAGTCACATTGTCTAAAACCTCGTTTCGTCTCGTTTCATGTCTTTCTGTCTAAGGTTTCTTTAACTTAAAAATACCTCTCGCTAAATTTTCTCTCGCCTCGCCATTGTTCCCTTGCCGCTTTGTTTGCTGAGTATTTCTTTCCTTTAGCGATATGGCACACTTCGTCATATCAGTTTTTTCGGCGCGGTTGGTAGTAGCGAACCAGCTGAATTACTGTGCGAAGATATTAAAAACTGGTATGCAACTGCCTATTTATATCCGGGCGATGAGGAGTTGTTTGCTTGCTTCCGGGGGTGAGAGTATAGAGCGATAATGCTCTGCTGTCTGTTGTGACTGCATCTCCTCGAAGTCGAGTTGTGAATCGCATGCGGACCTTGGCTTCAAACGGGTTGTGATGCGAGTCGATGTTGACTCCACGGATAGAACGCATGTAAAGTAACCTCGAAGCATACCTTGCATCTGGCCCAAAGTGATCAAATTGGTTCTTAGATCAGGGGACACCCAAGTGAATGCTGTTGGAGCTGTTGTTTTAACTCATCATCGCTGTCCTTCTCTGAGCCGTGCTTTGGCTTATGTTTAGGCTTACTTTTGCCTTAATACAACTTGTGACAATCCACGTTTGAGTCGCTTTATAATATTAAAATGCGATGAGATTTAATAGAGTTAATAATATGAAGCTCTTATTTTCGTAAGTTCAATAAACTTCTGTATTTGTGTCTAATTCCAAAGAACAACAAAAAGATGCTGCTTGTAGGACCAACCGGCACTGGCAAGAGCGCTTACATTCAGAACTATCTTATGAATAAAATAGATCGAAATTTGATCGAATCGGCTTTTATTACGTTTACCGTTATGATAACAGCAAATCAAACTCAAGAGTTACTCATCTCAAAGGTTTGTATCTGAATAAATAAAAGTATTTATAAGAGTTTATAAATACTTTTTTTTAAATGTCGTTTCCTCATTTCCAGCTGGTCAAGTGGAAACGCGGCATCTATGGCCCTCCGAAGGGTATGAAAACTCTACTTTTCGTTGACGATATGAATATGCCAGTGAAGGAGATATACGGCGCACAACCGCCACTAGAACTACTGCGACAATACTTTGACTATGGTTACGTCTACGATCTGAAGGACACATCTAAAATATTCATAAATGATCTAATGGTACTAACCGCCTGTGGCTTGCCGGGCGGCAGTCGGCAGGACGTTTACGCCCGCTTCCTCAACCATTTCAATGTGTTCTCGATCAATACATTCGGCGATGAAACTATGAATCGCATTTTCGTCAATGTGCTGATGAACGGTTTCAAGCGTTCGGGTCACGGCAATGATGTGCTCGTTGCCACAAACCAAATTGTTAGCGCTACACAGCAGATATATAAAAGTGTGCAGGCCGAATTGAGGGCAACGCCGACTAAATCGCATTATGTCTTCAATTTGCGCGATATCTCACGCGTTGTCTCCGCATGTGCGCTATTCAAGAAGGAATCGGCTAATGATAAGAAAATGTTTCCACGCCTGTGGTATCATGAAGCAATGCGCGTCTTTTACGATCGTCTCGTTGATGATGCTGATCGGCAGTGGATGTTCCAGAAGTTGAACGATTGTGTCAAAAACAATTTCAGAGAGAAGCTGGAGTCAGTATTCGAAAATTATTGTATCACTGTGGTCGGTGATTTGGTTTTCACACTTGAAGGTGCGCATCGTATATTTTTTGGCGCCTACATGGACGAGGACAACATACCCGATGAGCGGCGTTATGAGGAGCTGCCATCGTTGGAAGTATTCTTCAAATTTGCCACGACTAGCTTAGAAGATTACAATTCCACGCGCCGTTCCAAGATGGATATCACTTTATTTACCTTTGCGCTGGAGCACCTAAATCGTATCTGCCGCATTATCGCGATTAATGGTGCCAGTGCCTTGCTGATCGGCATGGGCGGCTCGGGCAGGCAATCACTTACCAAATTGGCTGCGAATATGGTGCAGACGTCATTCTTTCAGCCCGAGATTACCAAGAACTATGGGCCCAATGATTGGCATGATGACATAAAAAACATTATGAAAGAATCAGGTGGCATGAATAGGCATACCGTATTTCTTATGACCGAGAATCAGATAAAAATGGAACTTTTCCTGCAAGACATTGATTGCCTGCTAAATCAGGGCGAAGTGCCGAATGTGTATGCAATCGATGAGAAACAAGAGATTCTAGAGCTAGTGCGTTTGGCGGCGCAAGGTGGTAACCGCAATATTGACATTTCACCGCTGCAGGTGTTTTCATTCTTCGTCAATCGCTGCAAACAGAAACTGCATATTGTGCTTTGCCTGTCGCCAATCGGCGATTCGCTTCGGACGCGCGTACGTTTATATCCATCATTGGTGAACTGCTGCACCATTGACTGGTACCAGAGCTGGCCGGAAGAAGCTTTGACAATGATCGCAAAAATATCACTAGAAGATGTCAATGTACCATCTGCCGGCATAAAAGATGCCATCGTACAAACCTGTCAATACTTTCATATTAGTGCGGCCCGAGTTTGCCGCGAGTTCTGCGAACTTACCGGTCGCTACATATACCAGACAAACGCATCATTCCTCGAGTTGATCAAATCATTTCAAACTTTGATTGGACGCAAGCAGATGGAAATTATGCAGGCCAAAATGCGCTACATTGGCGGTTTGGATACGCTAGCCAATGCCGCAGAAGCAATTGCGTTGATGCAGAAGGAGTTGAATGCTTTGCAGCCGCAGCTGGTTGCTCTGGCTGAGAAGTCACGCCAGATGTTAATTGAAATCAATAAAGAGACGATTGCGGCCAGTGCCGCTGCTGAGCAGGTGAAGAAGGACGAATTGGTGGCCGCAGTGCAGGCCGAGGCAGCACAGGGTCTGAAAGATGAGTGCGAAAAAGACTTGGCGCAAGCTATACCCGTGCTAGAAGAAGCTATACAGGCGCTTAACACACTGAAACCGACCGACATTACCTTGGTGAAGTCAATGAAAAATCCACCACCCGTTATAAAGTTAGTTATGGCTGCGGTTTGTGTCATCAAAGGAGTGCCGCCAGAGAGAATACCCGATCCTAGTACGGGTAAAATGGTGAACGACTATTGGGGCCCAAGTAAGCGCATATTAGGTGAAATTAACTTTCTTCAACAGTTGAAAGACTTCGATAAGGACAACATAAAACCAGAGATTATGGCGCGCATACGCAAAGAATTCATACCCAATAAAGACTTTCAGCCGCGCATAGTTGCCAAGGCGTCCAGCGCTGCGGAGGGTTTATGCAAATGGATCATAGCGATGGATTTGTATGACAATGTGGCAAAAGTGGTTGCGCCTAAAAAAGCTAAATTAGCTGCTGCTGAGAAGGAGTACTCAGACACAATGAAATTTTTGACAGAGAAGCGTGAACTGGCAGCAGCATTGGAGGCAAAGGTCGCCAAACTCAACGAGGAATTGGACAAGGCAAATGCCGAAATGAAGCGTACACAGGATGAGGCAGACTTCTGTCAGAGTAAATTGGAGCGTGCGACAGCGCTGATTGATGGTTTAGGTGGCGAAAAGTCGCGCTGGACGCAAGCGGCTGAAAATCTACAAAGCATTTACGACAATTTACCCGGCGATATTCTCCTCTCGTGCGGCATCATCGCATATCTATCCGCTGTAAATCTCCACTTCAGATTCCAGTGCACTGCAGACTGGTTTCAACGTTGTGTCAAAGCTGGCATACCAACCTCAAAAGAATACAATATCACCACAACGCTTGGTTTGGAAATCACAATACAAAATTGGAATATTAACGGTCTGCCCAAAGATGTGTTCTCAACAGAGAATGCGATCATAGCCGACAATTCGAGTCGTTTTAGTTTGTTTATCGATCCGCAGGGTCAAGCCAATAATTGGATTAAGAATATGGAAAGAAAAAATCGCCTAAGCAGTGTTAAGTTCAATCAGGCTAATTATATGAAAGTTATCGCTGAATGTATGGAGTATGGTTCACCAGTGATTATTGAAAATGTGCTTGAGGAACTAGAGGTGCCGCTTGATCCGATTCTGCAGCGGAACACTTTTAGACAAGGCGGTCAAAATTTCATTAGTTTGGGCGATAATATTGTACCATTTAGTGACAATTTTCGCATGTACATGACGTGTAACTTACGAAATCCACATTTCCTACCCGAAACCTTCAACAAAGTAACGGTTATTAACTTTGCGCTTACGCAAAACGCACTCGAGGATCAACTTCTGAGCATCGTGGTTGCGAAAGAACGACCCGATCTACAAGAATTGCGGATGATGTTAATCAATGAAGCAGCGAAGAATAAAGCTGCCTTGCGGGATGCTGAGAATATGATCCTAAAGACTCTATCTTCCGCAGAGGGTGATATTCTTGAAAATGAAAGCGCAATACAGATTCTGAATGAATCGAAGGTACTATCATTGGAAATTGTCACCAAACAAGCCGCATCCCGTGAAACCGAAATGAAAATAGAAGCCTTCCGACTAAACTATAAACCTGTAGCAGTGCATTCATCCGTACTTTACTATTCTATAACCGATTTGCCAAATATCGATCCTATGTATCAGTTTTCGCTGAATTGGTATATAAATCTCTACGAGTATTCTATCGAGTCTGCTAATAAGTCCAGAGATCTGCCGCGGCGCATCAAGTTCCTAGTGGATGGAGTGACAAGAAATCTGTACAATAATGTTTGCCGCTCGATATTTGAGAAAGACAAGTTGCTCTTCTCTTTTATTCTCACTTGTCGCATTTTATTGGGAACTGGTCAGCTGAAGATGGTGCAGCTTTCGCATTTGCTAACTGATGCTAAGGAAGTCGAAAAACTGCCACCCAATCCCGACACCTCTTGGATTACGGATGTTATATGGTTGAACATAGCGCGTTTAGAAGAAATTCCTGAGTTGCGTGGGTTTTCGGCCAGTTTCGCGAAAGCACTACCCGATTGGAAGCGTATCTACGATCACATTGAGCCCGAAAATCAGACAATGCCGGCACCTTGGAGTGATAAGCTGTCGCGGTTCGAAAAGATACTTGTTTTGAAGGCATTGCGCCCTGATAAGGTATTCCTAGCCATACGTAATTTCATCGCTTCCGAAATGGGTGTACAATTTGTAACGCCACCCGAATTCGACATTGGCATGTCCTATAAGGAGTCGAACGCATTAGCACCACTTATATTCATACTCTCACCCGGCGCCGATCCGCTGGGTTCCCTGCTCGCATATGCTGAGAAATCCGGTTACATGGATACCTTTCAAAGCATATCACTGGGCCAAGGACAAGGTCCCATTGCGCAGGGTCTCATTAAGGATGCTCAAGAATTGGGCTATTGGGTTTGTTTGCAAAATTGTCACTTGGCCGCTTCATGGATGCCGACATTGGAGTATATCTGGGAAAATATGGACACCTTTAACACCTCACGTAGGTTATGAATCTCGGTGTTTTTTTTTTTGTATACGACTATCTTAACCGTCTACCACAGCCGGCTTCCGTTTATGGCTTACCAGCTATCCAACCCCGAAATTTCCGGTGGCTTTGTTACAAAATGGCGTGAAGATGACAAATGAACCGCCCACTGGTCTAAAAGAAAACATCATACGTTCATATAACTCAGAGCCAATCAACGATCCAACCTTCTACTTAGGTGAGTTTTAATGAATATAAATTTCGGAGTTTATAAAGTCTAACGATTATAAAGTTCATTAGAAAAGTTATTGTAAAGGAGGGAAGTGACGTTTCGTGTCTAGGGAACCTTGGAGATCCGTAAAGCACATATTTGGCAAGTGGTAGGTTCGCTTGGTAGGACTATACTTTGAAATAAGGAGATCACTCGTAATCACTGTACCGGGTTAAAAATTTTGGGAATCATTTTTTCCCAAGGCTAATAGCTCTTACCAACAATATTTACTTACATTAGCGTATCTGGGATATCGCAGGTTCTGTTTGTTTAATTGAATTTTGTGCAGAAATGGAACATTATAGAGGTTGATAAATACTAAAAATGTAATTCCCTATTCGAGAGTTAGAACACAACTATAGTATTCTGGTGGGGAGCGTGGGTTTTAAGAGCTTTCAGATGTAAACCAAACTGCTATTTGGTCTTTCTGGGCGTTCTCAAGCCATTCTTTGACGATGGCGCTATCAAGTTCACAGATAATGTGCTACCGAAATTATCCCTTCACAAGCCCTACAAGACAGAGAATTCCAAGTATGGTGTACCGAAGATGAACCACCGGAGAACTGTAATCAAAAATGTCTTCGTAGAAGGACAAATGAAGCCAGAATATTATGTCGGATTGTCAGGTAGCATTAAATGCCTTAGGCTTATTTAGAACGACAAGAAGTCCACATTAAAGGGACGCTGCTGTGGGTTCCAGCGCATGCAGGGTTTAACCGTTTTTTTTTTTTTGGGTATTTTACATGCTTCCCATATATATATTTTTTTCATTTACAGGTTGCGCCAAGCAAGATCGCGCCTTTACGCGTTTACTCTTTGGTATTTGCTTTTTCCATGCAGTAGTGCAGGAGCGTCGTAAGTATGGACCATTAGGTTGGAATATCGCCTATGGCTTCAATGAGTCCGATCTTCAAATTTCCGTTATGCAATTGAGCGTACGTAATCAATTAGTTGCTTTCCATTTGCTTAAACGATCATTTCCTTGCAGATGTTGCTTAATCAATATGACCATGTACCCTATGATGCCTTGTCCTACTTGACAGCCGAATGCAATTACGGTGGTCGCGTCACAGACTATTGGGATCGTCGCGCTATTGTCACCATATTAGCTGATTATTTAAATGCAGATGCGGTGAACGATAATCGCTATCGCTTCGCTACAGACGATCGCTTCATATTGCCACGCAAGACGGAACACCGTGAAATTTTACGTTATGTAGATGAAAATTATCCCTCATTAGCAGCACCAGAAGTTTACGGCCTGCATGGCAATTCAGGCATTACGCGAGATCTTCAAACTACTAAAACACTACTTGACTCGATGATTGCGATTGTTGGTAGCGAGATGGCATCAACTGGCGCTGGCGCACAGAGTCTAGACGAAACGCTGCTACAAACTATTGCTCAAATTGTCAAAGCAATGCCGGCCGACATGGATATTGATGATGCTAAAATCAAGTATCCAGTTAATTATGACGAGTCTATGAATACGGTTTTGGTACAGGAAATGGAACGTTTCCTGAAATTGCAAAAAGAAATACGCGCCTCGTGTCGTGATCTCGATATGGCTATAAAAGGAATTGTTGTGATGACGCCCGAATTGGAGAATGTGCTCAATGCTATTAAACTAAATCGCATACCGGCCAAGTGGTTGACCAAATCATATCCTAGTCTAAAAACGTTGGCTTCTTATATTCAAGATTTATATAAGCGCCTCGACTGGTTGCATCATTGGTTAGTTAGTTGGTGCACCATTTTTAGGCATCGCTTAAACTAAGTAACCTCCTTTTCAATAGGCATGTGCACGGTAAGCCGCCGACGTTTTGGCTGTCTGGCTTTTTCTTCACTCAAGCTTTTCTTACTGGTGCTATGCAGAATTTCGCACGCAAATACAAAATTCCAATTGATACGCTAACATTTGATTTTGATGTGCTATATGAGGATAGGTAAACATAATGAATGCATCAATCCATGATGTAAACATACAAATGTATGTATGTATGTATATTTTTTGCCAGCATGAAATCGCCACCAGCGGATGGTGTCTTCGTAAATGGACTGTTCCTTGAAGGCGCTAGATGGAATTTGAAGGAAAACATCATAGATGAGCAACTACCAAAAATACTTATTTACACAGTGCCTGCCATTTATTTTAAGGTAAGTTTACATGCACATATACACTTACATATCGAGCTCTAACCGCCAAAATAACGTAAGCGACATTGTTTTTCAAAATTTTCTTTTTTAAGCTCTCACATTAAAGATAGCAAGTCAATCAGTCCCTCTTCGTTTTTATTCAAAAATCCTGAATAGTTTAATCGATTTGCACATTAGAAATACAACTCCTCACGATTGCCTAGCAGGAGCTCATTTTGCCTGCATCAAGAGTACGTCGGTCGAAAACGACCTTCATACGATCCTGTAGTCGATAATAGTAAGCCTTCGACATCGAGAGGGCATTAAATAAAGTACTTCCCGGCTGACAATCAACAGATCCTTAGGTTTTGGTCGAAACCGATTTGGTTAAACTTACAAACCGTGGAATGTGGTAATTGTTGTTGTTGTTATAGCGGCTACTTAGCCCTGCCTAGGTCAGCTTGTCCCTCAATCGTTGTCGTCAAGCTCCACTAAAGGCAGACCCAGAAAGTGTTCCACTCCAACTGGGTTGGTCCATAGGGAAAGGGACGTTAGTTGAGTTGGGTTTTAGCGATAATACGAAGAGGTGTTGCGAGTCATTAGGTGACTCTCCGCATGCCGGACACACACTGCGAAAATATGCATTTATCCGGCTTTGGTAGGAGGTTAGCTTGCTGCTGTATCCAGAGCGAAGTTGGGCTATGGTAGTGCGAGTCTCGCGAGGTAGATGAAGTTCTGTCGCGCCCACGTCAGGTGTCGGGAGTAGGTGTAAGTCGAGACAGTCTCCCTGTGACGCCGTCCGTATGACCTGTCGGCATGGGCGTAGCCAGGTAGGGGCAGGGGGTGCTCGAGACCGCCCCCCCCCCCCTAACTTTCCAATTTTCCTTATATATTTAAAAAAAAAGACCCCGGAAAAGCCAGTTTAAAGGGGCGGGCCCCCCCCCCCCCCCTAAATTTCATTCTGGCTACGCCGATGCCTGTCGGTACGCTGTCGGGTCCAAAGGTTCGTTTTATAAATGTAGTAGTGCTTTCTTTCAGTGGCATTCTCGCACTCCTTTGTGGATTGTAATCGAAAAAGCCTGCTAGAGCAAAGTACTTGGGCTTAATTCTAGATAGGAAGGTGTCGTGGAAGTCTAACATTGATAAAAAAAATAGAAAAAAAGGCATTTTTGGCTCTATACCACAGCTGGGGTCAATACACTGTAGAAGACTACGCCGTTCAAAAATCTGGCGGGAATAAAACGGGCCGCCTTAATCGGAAATCAGTGGGTCACTTTGGACCTCCCACCTCTGGCTGTTAACATAGCGCCATTCGTTATCGTACGGTGTAAAGTTTTTGCAGAAAGGGGCGCAGTCAGAATTAGAGGCACACGGTGCTTATCTTACTCAGGATCTGGACATTATAATATTCATGAAAGTCTATCTCTGATAAAACAGATCACTGCGTGGCTAGACCGGCAGCAATTAGTTCTCTTTTCACTCAGATTCCCTACATGGATGAGTGAACGGTAGGCAGCGTCGGCAAGGGAGGTAAACATCTACCCTGTTACTGCCGTCCCTAAATTGGCGCGGCAAACGCCAAACAACTGTCAAAAATCCTCATGCCCGTATAATTTGCTTGGAGCATCCCACAACAACGCTGCGGTAGCGCAGAGCAAATGGAATTTTCGTTTTTGATAGGGCGTTACATTTTGAAGTTGGACAAAGAAGACGGAAAGAAAGAGAAAGGATAAAAAAGTGAAAGAAGAAAGTAGAATAAATACGAGAGTAAATGAGAAAACGTCGTTGACAACGGAAAACGCAACGCTTAGCGCTCTAATTTAGGGACGGCAGTTAGCCAAGCAACTCCTCACCGCTCTTTCGTTGTCGTCTAAGAGTAAGAACATAGTGGAGCGGCGAGCAAAGAGCATCGAGCAAAGCGTCGATTTCAAGCGCATGTGTTTCAATGGGAAGCGCATAGTGAAGAGCAAAGCGTATATACACGTTTGTAATTGAAGCTTTGCTCGATGCTAGCTCTTCGCTTTGCTCGCCGCTCCACTATGTTTTGACCCTAAGTATATCCTAGTCAGGCTTGGATGGGTGTCAGTCCACAGTGTTATTGCATGAAATTGCGTGGTGGATAAGCTGGCCAGGACATTCACCCACAAGTTAGTGTAACAGAGGAAAGAATGGGTATATCTTTGACTACATGTGGACTACTCTGGACAAATAGGCTTTGGGTCAGCGCGGCTACTGCAAAATATCTCGGGTATTACCTGTTCCCTCATCAGTCCAACTCTGGCTACACTACCCATACTACTTTTGAGCAGAATTCCTTTAAGGGACAGTTTGACTAAGCTAAGCGATATTTGTTATCCAATTCCTAATCATTTCTGAACACTTTTGGTGGAGGAGAAGTATAGCAGAAAAATACCAATATTTCGGGCTGAGGGTGTCGTCTCCTTCCTTTCACGAAGCCGTTCTCATTTATAGTGACAGAACACTGCCCTTTTTAATTCATGAGGTGATACTAATTATAACACACCGGCTCCGCATTGTCGCCGTTCTTAGTGGCATCACGAAGGACCAATGCTTATAGTCTAGTGGGCCCCTCTTTGGGGCAACTGCCTTAACCTGCACTAACTTTTCATCGACATAACAAATACATTACGTACTACACACATTGCAAATATGCCAATTATTTAGCGAGAATTAGTCTATTGAAATCTATTATATTCTAAAGTAGTTTGTATGTACATACTTATATGCGAATACAAATTTGTTAAACAATTTCTGTGTTTCTTTCCTCTTTTTAGCCGCTGGAGATTATCAAACTTGTCGAAGGTACACGCTACAAATGCCCTCTATACAAAACATCTGAACGCAAAGGTGTTCTTTCAACTACCGGACATTCCACCAACTATGTTATTCCGATACTACTAAAAACGAGACTCAAAGCCTCTCATTGGGTTAAACGTAGCGCTGCTTTACTATGTCAAAAAACCGATTAGTTTAATTTAGTTCATCCCTCATGCGTATATGCATATTTTTTATTATTTTTGTATTCAATGGTTTCAATATTTAATTCAAACATTACATGAAATATATACATATGTATTTTTTGATAATCAATACATAACTTTTGGCACGATGTTTCAAATAAGATATAATCGATCATTAGTGACCTCGTGGACGCTTTGTGGCATCGTACACAAAAATATATGTATTCAGAAAAAAAAAACAAAAAAAAATAAGGGTGGACAACAATTTAAACAAACAATAAAAAATATTATAATATTAAACGTAAGCATCGTTGATATTTCTTCCAACATATTTATTTCATAAACAATTCGGCCACTTTTTAAAAATGTTGGCGGCGGAATAAATCAATTTCATTGCGTGTGGCATTGTATACCCTCAATTCGTGGACAATCTAAACCATCACTGTCTAAACCATCACTGCTGCTACTGTCAGTCTGTTCGCCCACATCTTCACCCGTTAAATACGTAACACGTCGCGGAGGACGGCGAAGAAATTGGCGTATAAAGTAATGGAATTCTCGACCATCGAAACCTCGACCTTCGCCGAAAAGTGAGCGTCTTAGATTGCGTTTAACGCACGCCTCGAGTTTCGATAAATCCGGAGGATACTAGTGGAGTAATATGAAAATCATTATTCGTTTTTTATTACAAAATGTAATATAAAGCGGAGCATACCATTTCACTACTTGGTGTCCAAATTTTTATGGTGGAATCGAGGCCAGATGTAGCCAGCACAGGAATCGTCGGATGTGGTTCCAAACAATTTACCTAAAAAAATTTGTATTTGTAATTCCCTCCGTAAAAAAATAAAAAAAAAAAAATGTAAAGCGTTTAAAACCTGTTGACATTTTAAATATAAAACTGTTCGACATTTTTCGAATGGGTGTTACTCAAGGTACATTGAACAGGTAGTATCAGTAGAGCAGCTGATTTGATTTATTTTCAAATTATTTGGTCTCGAAATGTCAAATATTTTTAATTTTTTCTCACAAAAATTCTGAATTGTTAAAATCCATTTGCATGTGAAACCTTTTTCCATACAAAACAAGCGATTGAATAGCAGCTTTTGGAACGTTCGCCCAACTCAGCAGCACAACAGCTGATTACTGGCCCTTGTAAAGGATGGATCAATGCTTCGAGAAGCAAACAAATTTACTAGGAAAGAAAGTTGCAACAATTTTTATTTTTTCCAATTTCATTTTTTATAATTTTTTGTATTTCACATGGCACGCTTTGATTTAGAAGAAAAAACTCAGAACAGTTTTTGACACTTTCGATACCAGAAGCAACAACAAAATACACGCAAATGTTGTTTTTGCTCTACTGATACTATCTGTTTAATGTGCCTTGGTGTTACTTGCACTGAGGGCCGTTTTCTCAAGTAACTTGTAACTTGAAAGCTCACTTAATCCAATATAAAGTGAACTTTAAACTTAAAGGTTACCTCACAAAACGGCTCTAAGTTTGAATGATTGGTATTAACATTTAGGAAGAGTGATAGTGTAGGAGTAAATGCTTTTTTTTATATAATGCACATAAATTCGTTTAATACTTACCACACCCATAGTATCACCCGGCATAAAATTAACAATTGCTTCAGTATTTTTATCCCAGAAAAATATGTTACCACAATCACTACCGCTGATCACATACTCTGAATTGGGCCCAAAAAAGTTGACACCCTTAATAGTTTTGTGATTGCTATTCGGAATGGATAATTGAATGTAAATCTCATATATTTATGTGTATAAAAATTATGCCCCCCACTTACTAATGTCCACGGTAGCGATGCGTATATTCACCCGTCTTGTACTCGTTATTATTAAATAAGTATATATGGTCATCACTATAAGAAGCAAGAACTTCACTTCCTGTACTGTTATAGACAGCGCAAGTAACTTGGGGTATAGACGCCTAAAAAGCAATTGTAATAAAGTAAATGATTAAAAATTTAAAATATCTAAATGCGAAATCCTCTTACTTACTTTAACTAAATGATCGGGGCACATTTGATGTACTGGTTTATTCATATTACGTTTATCATAGACTCGCACAAAATTATCACAACCACACACACATATCTCAGGCGCATATGGATGATGGGCAATACTAAAGAGGCGTATTTTTTTCATCTTTATGCTATCCACCTTGCATAGAATTGCCGCACTCTCATCACTGCGCAAATCTTTACGACGTATACGTGCATCCTCTCCGGCACTGATGATTTCAAAGGGATTATTGGGACTTATAACGAGTTTATGTACAGAGCCCATATGACGATATAGAAAAGAAGTTTGCGGCTTTCCCCCAGACGGAGGTACAATAGAACGTAGTACTTGGCCATCACGTCCGGCTGACACAATATCCAAAACACCTAGACTATTTATGAATTTCGTTTGAAAAATATTCTCAGTATGTCCAGATTTGAAAACCAATTTTGGTTTTTTATGTGGCCAATTCCAGACGACAATGCGCATGTCGTCCGATCCGGAGCAGAGCAAGTCGCCAGAGCGATTAAAATTCAAACAATTTACACAGCCATTATGCTTGAGTAAGCGATGAGAAATCTTCATACGTTCAACTACATGCCGTGCAGCATAAAAGCGTGCATTGAAACCAGGTGACATACCACTGGCTAATGATCGGCGGCCGTCACCGCTCAGTCCGTGCTCCCTTCGCATTAGCTCATATGTCGAGCACCAGGTGTATTGTGGTTTAGGTTTGTTCATTACGTCAGCTAATGCATTCGCGTGCTCGGAATTATCGCTCGAGTTATGTTCCTCCTCATCTTCAGTCTCATCGTCGTCATCGTCGTCATCGTCGACATCGTCGACATCATCGTCCTCCTCGTCATCGTCATCGTCATCATCGTCATCAGTGAAATTTGGAGTACTGGTGTCAAACGGTCCACTGGTGACAATGGGCGAAGATGCAGCAGGCGACTAAAACAAAATCAACAACACAATTATTTGAATTTTTAATATTATTAATAAGCTTACACTCTCCCTTTCGCTTGGCATCGAGGCATCAAGATTATTTTCGGCTATGTCTCCTTCCGCCGGAGCTGGTGTTACCGAAAGCAATGGCTAACGGGTGAATGAATTTTAATAGATTCATTTGTATTAGATAAAAAAACACTTACCATTTGCTCTTCCTCAGTTCCGTCTGCAACGGACGAATTTCTTCCAGGCGGCTCTTCTTCGCACTCATCATCTTGTGTGCTTTGTCGGTAATTGCGCGTACTTCGACGAGTGTGACGGGGAAAAATGGGTGTCTCAGCAGTATTACTGTTTAAAGCGGTCGCCGCTGGGGATTCATCTTCCATGGCGGTAGCGATTACTTCTTCTTCTGTGTCTGTGGTATATTTTGTTAATTCCATTTTCATGCTATCTGCACTTCTAATCTCCGATTCCTCATTAACAGTAGAACTTGGCGTAGTGTTGCTATTCGCATTGAGTGGAGATGAAGTAGCTTTGTCAATGCAACTGGTTACTTCCATTATGGTCATTTCATCAGTGTCTGGATTTGTATCGACTTTTTTTGAGGTTGATCGATCCTCCATGTTTACACAAACGCCGCTATCGCAGCTACTCTTATCGTTTTTTAATGGAGTTGAACGAGAATCACTGTAAATTGCAGAATAAATATATTCGATTTTTGCGTATGTTCTAGGCACATATGTACATACTTATTTATGATTTTTCTTCGTACTAAAGGTTATAATCCCTAAGCGCAGCCGAAGGCCGCCTACGTAGAAAGAAGTTCCTACCCTCTTCCTTTTTACTCCTAATCCTCATCACCCCTAATCCTCTTTACCCCTAAAATGCGAGGTATTTAAATTAAAGTTTGCTCAAAAAAATAGATAGCCTCGGATCCACTGTAATTTTCTTCGCCGATCTAAGGTAAAAATTATCTTGGCGCGTGTGAATAGCCAGTGCCCATAAATTAATCATACATAGATTCTTCATATTGGCAAATACATAACCCCTTTTTAATTTTTACTATTATTTTTGAGAGCATATTTTACTAGCAATCCTATTAGCTTACGAGTCCTAAAACCTACTAACCTTTCACTATGATTATCATCCGCATTTTCTGTTATAGCAGCTGTTAGCAGCACCTCCACCGTTTCCATTGCTATTTCTTTGCCATCATCCTCATCGCCTGAGCAGTGTTCAGCTGATGTTCCCATATTAGTTGACGTTCCTTCGCCACCAGACGATTGTTCCTTGCTGTCCATGTTTGAGGTAAACTAAAAAGTCGTTCGTAATTGTAATTTTAAAAGCTATTCCCTGCACTTATTTTTTTATTCACTTACTATACAGATATTCTGCTACCGTTGGCACTGCTGTGCGTACGGACGGGTACGTTATTTGTTTTGCTTTTCAGTCCAATTTCTATTCAATTAATGCTTGCGTAGTATTTATTTTATATGTAAATTTCACGAACTGGAGTTACAAATTTGTAGCTTGAGCTTGCCCAATCCTCCGGACTCGCAGATACTTCAGTTAATACGCCAAAAACACAAAATTTTACAAAGAAAAACAGATTTAAGTTTCTTGACGAAATCTGTCGCAACTTTTCTTGAAGTACAATGCTGACCAACATATTGGCCGGCGTCAGAATTTAATTTTGCCGGCTACCGGCTACCGACGACATAAAATTTAATTTATTTACTAATACGGTGTTCGCATGTGACAATTTTACAGGCAACTTTTGGTTGATAGCAACAATCGCCTGGTGTGAGCAGCCTTTCAACTAATCGCTTCCAATGAAGTTGAGGTGCCGCAAACTTTTGATTAAACTAATCGCCTCTAAAATTGCCTGGAAAATCGCCTCATGTGAATGCCGTATAACTAAAACAATAAATTTAAGTAAATTTAAATTTAAAACGGCCTCAAGCTCATAAAAATTGTTGAATATAATTGTTATAATGCCATAAAATAACAAAAAATAAGTAAATTTAAACTATCAAATATGTTTGAAATTTTCAGGAACCACTTTCAGTGACTGATAGTATTTGCAGTTAGGGTCAATCTCTAGAAACCTTTCAAAAGACAATAAGAGTACTCATCTAAACGCGCAAGTTTCATATTTGGGCAGTTGGGCAACTTTGCGCAGTGTGTTTCATGAGGGCAATTTTATATTTTGTCCAATTTCTGACATTTAATTATTTGACAACAAAAAATTTGAACAATTGAAACTCAAATGTAATGCTGGATTTCCACTAGGCATTGAAATGACCAAAAATATATGCCATTTAAAATCATGCCATGTGGAAATGGACTTATAGGCCCGTAGTCATAGTCAAAATAAAGTCGACTTTAAAGTTAGTTGCAGCTTTTTGACATAATTTTCAATGGGATATCTGTCAAAAAAGCTGCAACTAACTTTAAAGTCGACTTTATTTTGACTATGACTACGGGCCATTGACTATTGTTTTAATGTAATGACACGATTATTTTTTAATGCCCGACTTCGTAATTTGTCATTTTTGCCATTTAATGCCTAGTGGAAACTTAGCATAAGTAAATATTTAAGTCCTGCGAAAAAGTGTTGAGCCCAAATCAAAATGAAAGTAAATAAAATAGTTGATTGAGGTTCGCACAGCAACAAAGTTGCCGCGCATAGTTGCCCTTTTTGTGCAAATGCCTTTCCTTTCCATACAAATTTTGACATTTCATTTTCAAGGGTTGCAAATTGCACAGTTTGGTCAGTTTGCAAGAGTTTTGCGCTTTTAAATGAGCACCCTTAATAAATTTTTAAACTTTTACTGCGTTGTGCAACACTTATACAGGTGTACCCAAATAAACTAAGAAAGCTCAATTCTACCATTAATAATGCCAGAGACTGTATTAGGTTTTTATTAATTTTAAAACAAATATATAAAATATATTTATAATAAACAACTAAATCTTTTAACAATAAACAAAAATAATGAAAAACTGGTTGATAGAAAATGTTCTAAGTCCACATTCAAAGAACAAAATCTGCAACAGCTTTATTTTGAAATTGGCCTGTTATTACTGGTACTTAAACAAGACGAACTAAAAGCTTAAACAGACGGCAGCGTTGATCCGGATTAACTCGGACTTAGTTGATCCGGATCAACACTGCCGTCCGTTTATGCTTTTAGAAGAAAACTGCTTTTACGGATAGGAAAATATTAACAAAAAGAAAAAGTTAAACGGTTTTTTGTCACTCCTGAAAAATTTAAAAAGTAGACTTAGCACATTTGCACACTACGACGATCTGCTTGCGATAAAGTTATCGGTTTAGATGAATACCACCAATATTAATTTAAATATTAGCATGGCATTTAAATTTGATATGTAGAAAATTGCCTTTGACATATGTATTTTAACACATTATAATTGAAATTTCGAATTACGTTTGGTCGAAGGCGGAAATTTAAAAGTAGCACACGGATTTTTAAGGAGTTCACAATTCTCGCTATGGCTTAGTTTATGGCGAGAAAAATTTTAAACATCATTAAGCGGAACCTGCAACAACATGAATATGTAAATTAAGTAGCAGTGAATGTAAAACTTGATTTTCGGGACGCGGGGGATTGTGAAATAACCGTCAGCTTCAAAGCAATGATGGTCAATTTTTTTTTTTAAGCTTAGAGAAGCGACCATTTTTTTATTTACTGATTTATTTCATTTGAGAATTTTCCGGATTAAAAAAGTTCGTCATTTTTTATGGAATGCATTTAACGAATTCAAACTTCACCGCCAGAATGAATAAAGCTTTTGTTGTTGTAACAGCATACAAATACCCAAATGGTTTTTGTGGAATGATGCCGATTACGTAGACCCTACTGTCGTGAGAACGAAGAACAAGGTGATCCCACCGAGTGGTGTCTTTCCCCATTAGTATTTAACTTCTACTTAAACCTCGAATATTCCTCAACCACTGAAAGGAGTTTGACTGATTCCATTAACAAAATCGACAGCTTACCACCAAACGGCACACCAATGCCGGCAATTAATAACCCAAACATTTTTAGGGGTTGCCTTTGATAGCTGGCAAAGAAACTATGTTGGCAACAAAGAAGTTCAGCTTTAAACTATCCTTCGCTAGTTTGGCCACCACTGACTAGTAGAGCGCAGTGGACAAAGCCATAGCGTGGTCAGACCACCGAATTATAGACTCAGCAGGATATCTTTTGATGGCGGCTGAATACTACGAACATAGCGAATGCTTCCTATTCGGGTATAAGCAAGGCATTTCTGCCCGGTTGCTACCATAGAGAAGATCCGAACAGTAACTAAAATGGAACTAAGGCTGAGATTGTGTAGAAGGATTAACTCTTACTTTTCTATACTCGACGTCGACATATGTACATACATATCACATACTCCGCATGATACCAACCACCCCTTCCCCAGGCCTCTGAAAGCCGCTCCCTCTGGTTCGGCTCCGTCGAAATAACAGGGTTCCGGGGTCTACCGATAGCTGATGTGGCCAGTTTTACACTTTCTAGAGTAGTTTATGTTCTAAGTCTTCGACACAGATACACTATAAAGTTTGGTTAACGGCTAAAGTTTGTACAGTTGGTAAAGTTTTAACTAACTGACAGTCAAATTTTAAATAGGCATCAATATTCGAAAGTAAACCGTTGACATTTCAACAAAACTCCGCTCCAACTGAACTCAACTCAAACCTGTCTAGAAAACCAAAGTTCCAAACAAAATTTTCCACTGACGACTGACCATCATGTAGTCTAGATCGGACCTTAAGCCATTAGACTATGAACTGCGGTTTATTCTGATGACTGTGACTTGCACTACTTGACCCAACGAATGAGGTGGGCACTACATCCGATACAGGATCGACTGCAATGTAGGTTGAGTTAAGTTAAGCTGGCTGATCATAAGAGTTCACAGGTAGACGAAGATAACGAATCAGTGCATTCACGCAATGTTGGAGAACATTCCCGGACCTTTAACGAATTTTAGTAAACACTTTGGTCCTTTCCTACAGGATTAAAACTTTGGAATAAAATTAAACACAGGGTGTTCCTTCGGTTTTCCAGAGAAACAATTTCTTTAAACAAAATTTCAAAAAATGGTAAATTTTAATGGAATGAATAAAGAATATATGTTAAAATATGTTACTTTTTATTATTTTGTTAATAATACGGTTTTTTAGCTTTCGAAATAAGGAATAAAAACCTGCTCATTTTTTGCACTTTTTGAAATAATGCTTTTTTTGGTAATGCATAAAATCATTTTTTCATTTCTTGTCAGTGCCGTCAGATCTGCACGATTCGTTCTATTTTCAAAAGTGAAGTGTCATAATAAAGGCTTGACCTGTAGACAATAGGGGTTTATTTTTTTTTTAAGAGTTGCCACCTGTAAAAAATTAAATTAACATTTTTCCAATAAGTTACATGAATTGTTAAGAGATGGGTATCAGTCGAAATGTATATGAAAAGGGCAAGGCGCATCAATTACAGGTGATAGCGAAAGAAGCTATGCTTCTTCTTATGAGCACGCTTGTGTCAAATTATCGCCTGTTTTGCTTTATTTACATCTCCGCGTATACATACACATATACGTCTATATATACCCTGCAAACAAATGCTCCCGAAATCTTTAAAAGTGTCGGAAATTTGCTACGATTCTTTTAGAAATCTTTAAAGAAAAACATATGAAGTGGTTGACAAGAACTAGTAAAGAAATTTCTGTACGATTTCTTAAAGTAAATTATAAAAAAAATTGTGAAACCTTTCAGAATTCTATGAAATCCTGGTATGCAGGGTATACATGTACATACGAATATTAATAGATAAAGAAGATGTTGATGACACAAGGAGTTCATACCAACGGTAAATGTTGTTTTTGTACGATTGCTACAACCTGTAGTTGTTGAATCATGTGAAAAGGGTTTATTTCTTAACTACATGTAGAGGGTTGCCACCTGTTTAAAAAATCAAAATCCATTTGAATTAAAGGAATTAGATAATTTAAATAGACAGGTATCACCATATGGGAGTCAGATGAAAGAGGTTTAAGAAGGTTTTAGCTTGCAAATATTACGAAGAGGGTGCCAGGTGGTTGTAAAGTCAAATTTAGTTAAAGTAGAAAAATAATTGTGCCAAAGCAAAAGTTTACGACATCGTATTTGTTATTTTATTACAAATACATAAATTAATTTGTTCTGATTACATTCCTTTTAAATTACTGGACCCTTTAATTAACTCTGGAATGTTTTTACTCTTCACTTATTTCTTGCTAAATATGTCAAATTTTCTCTTTTGCCTGATACCCATATTGATATACAGATTTCCGTTACCTTATTCCCTTCATTATAGTGAATTTGATTTTTTAAACATGTGGCAACCCTTCTACGTTTCGTTTAGAAGTAAAGAATTTGCAACACCATTTCAATTGATACCCATATTGTAATATCTAATTCGTTTAACTTATTAAAAAATTGTAATAAAATTTGAAACAGTTGGCAACCCTTTCCAAAAAAATACTACTTCATTGCACATCTACAGACCTAGTCCTGTCATTTGACACCTCACTTTTGAAAATAAAACGAACTATATGTACATACCTACATATGTAAATGCCACAAGAACCCAAATTGTCAACTTCAAACTGCATTTAGAGTGAATGTATTAAAGTTACCCAAAAACAATTTGCATTTTTTAATTTAACGTCCTCAATTTAACTAAGAGGCGAATTTTCATTTAAATCCGTCCACAATTCTATTTTTGCCCACATTTTATATGGAAGGGAAGCACTGTGCGTTGTGTTGCCGTTCAACTCCAGGGCTTGTCGATCATACTTTGTATGGAAGAAAACGACACTGTCAACAAGAAAAAATGTCAAAACTCAACATACATACTTACTTACTTTTTTCTTTTATTTAAAAATTTGTCTGATTTAAAAATGAAAATCGATACTAAGATTGACGTGCATGATTTTTGTCTAATTCTAACTATGTAAATACTCGGCCAATATTACCCTTTAATGTTTAGATTTCAGCTAGGTACAACTTCATTCTTTATTACCATTTGGGCGTTAATTCTGTTTGGCAGTTAGATCGCCAGCAATGGAAGACTTAAGAAGAATAAAGCTGACTTTACAAGAGGCGATTTTTTGACAGGCGATAATCGCCGCCAAAAGTTGACTTGCTGTCTACATTGAGGCAAGCGATTTTCGAATCACCATTTACACGAGCGATTTTTCTTGAGCAATGTTGAATCGCATAGAAAATCGCCTCATGTAAATGCAGCATAATTCAAATTTGAATTTAAAGAGACATTTTTGGATCTTCGCCCTATCCAACTTGAATAGTCACACATACGCATGAATCCATGTACATGCATACATACATACGTATTTAGGTGTGCATTAGGGTGCATTACTCTCCTTAAAAAAAAAAAACCGATATTATTTTCTATCGGAATTATAAAATTTATTATATTTTAAGACTACTTCCAAAATATTTCGGCAAAATATTAATATTTGCGTGAGCTGAACCCATTTGAAAATATCTCCAAAAATCTAGTTTTTTATAAATAATTTTTTTCTTTAATATTTTCTCCAAAAAATCACCCTAGATGATAAGGTAAATCCTAAAAGGTCAGCATAAAAATCTTTAACTATTTATCAACGGAATCGAAATAATGAGTTTTTTGAGATATTTTCAAATCGGCCTAACTCACGTAAATCTTAATATTTTTACAAACTTTTATTTAACTTGCTTTGAATGTATGTATGTATGATGTATGCATGTAAGTATGTTTGTTTGGGTCATGTTTTACAATCAATCTTTAACGAACTTCCCGATAAGCTAGAGACTTATAATTTGAAAATTAACTCAGAACCCGATGACAATGCAATTTGGAAGATGAATAAACCCGCTAGGTGGCACAGGAGTCGAGATATTTGAAAAACTCGTCCGTTTGGTTCATATTTGAAATGTATGCAAGGAAATAACCCCACAAAACATGTAGCCGGTAGGTGGCGCCGGCGTCGAGATATTTGGAGAAACCGTATTTATGGTCCGATTTGGTTTTTATTTGGAAAGCTTGTTTTAAAAAGATTTTTTTACCATTAACTTTTGCGAAATATTTTTGCGGAAGCCTTAAAAAATAATACATTTTATAGCTGGGGTGGAAAACCCGAAACTTTTTTTGATGATGCACCCTAATGTACATATGTATGTATGTATATACCTGCATTGTATGTATGTATGCATACATATATGCTGGTCTTGTCTTTGACTCCGACTAGAGAGTGAGGCTTTTCATTTTCTTTTGAACCAATTTCATTGTACGAGAGTATTTGCCAGTAATTGCTGAGCTGATTCGAGAAGCTTTGTGGTTAGCCGCCACCAAAGTCAAAGCCCAGCCTGTCTGTCGTACATTCAGTTTTCGATAAGAGAGCGGCAATTGCGGTGGCAATCGTGCCGTCGGAGTTTAACATTTCTTGCGGTACTTCTGTAATATTTAGTTTTTGGCTTAAAAAAAAAAAATACTCCCTAAAATAATACATAAATCTGAAGGTATACAAAAAAACACGAGTATGTGCCTTTGTTGGCATGACCTCTTTTTAGATATTTTAATTTTAAGGTGAACTAAACAAGAAAAAAAAACGCGCTGCACTGCTGTATATAAAATATATTAAAATAACTAAATTAAATAAAATAATAAATGGAACAAAAGTGCGTGAATTTTGTACCTACCACTTCTCAAGTGTGTATGAACAAATGTATATAGAGTGTATGTACATATGTATATGTATGGGTGTATTTATGTAGCTGCGTGTAAGTACTAGCATAGAGGTAACTAACTACATACTCGTACATACTGTGATTACTATTTTAGCCAATGCGCCACGCCATCACCTGCTGGATAGCGCTGTTGTAGCGCATGCGCAGCGCTTCACTAAATAAAATAGCAGCGATCGGTGGTCATAAAATTGAATTTCTTGCTTGACTTATGCCCTAACTTTTTTTTACTGTGTTTTCCTTATTTGTTTTGCTCTACTTTAGTTTTCGTTATAACCAAAAACTTCCGCAGTTTTTTCGCTTTTGTACGAATATTCGTTTTTCAAGCCAGCCATTGTTTGTGGTTTTCAGTATTTTTTATTTTATTTTTTTTTTGTTAGCATCGCAGTAACCAATCACTTAAGAAGCTTACGATTCCGGTTTCATTAGCTCAAGCGAGTTTTGTTTTAGCTGATCTGAATAAGAGGCAAAGCTGTATCATCTTTTGCTTTGTACGCATTTTGACTTCACCCGAATGAATCTAAATTTTTGGCACAGTTTTACATAGCTGAATTAAAAAAAAAAAATATTTGCCGCCTACACGACCTGCTAAGTACTATATGGTGAAGCTGTAATTTGTGGTGTCCGGCTTATATTGATTATGAAGGTGCCTATGTGCATTTTATGAGGCGATTTTTTCAAGACGGAATCACACTCGGAGCTCCGCCTTGACTAGTAAATAAGCAACTACAATTTGAAAATCACTGTGTTGTTCGCATCAGAGATTGAACCTTGGTGCTACCGAGTTGTCATTCGCACCTCTAACCAAGGGAGTAGCCAGGATATAATGTAAATACAAAAACAAAAACCCGTAACTTAAAAAAAAACATATCCAATGAAAACCCGAAAACAGCCTTGATTCATTTCGCCTCCAAACTTTGACGACCCATCACACGAAACATTGACTGCGCTTTATGGATATGCGCCTGTAATGTCCGGGGCCTTAATAGGGAAGGTACCTCTGCCCGGCTGGCTGATGTCCCCGTAAGGAAAAAGCTTATATCACCGCCATTCAAGAAATGCGTTGGGCGGGGCAAGGTAAGCAATACCTGGGACCTTGAGACGTCTACTACAGCTTCCATGTAAAGGAGCGCAAATTTGGTGTCTCGCCACAATCCGCATCAAAGCAAGATTCTTCAACATATCGCTGATTTGCGCCCACACTCCGGCGGAGGAGAAGGACGAAATGTCCAATGATAGCTTCTATGAGTGCTTGCAGCTCACATTCTTCAATGTCAGGATGGGCAGGGATATTTGGAGCCACCGTCGAAATATTGAACCGACTGAGGCTGGTCGACTTCGCTGGACCAGAAAAATAGTAGTATGCAGTAATAGGTTCAGGCATAAAAAGATCCATCAAGCTACGTAGCTGTCTTCAAATCGAAAACTGGAAATCATATTGATCATGTTGTGATAGGCGGAAGGAAAGCTCTGAAGCCTGGTTATCAACTCGGACCACTATCCTGGTGCAGCCGAGATACGAATCCGCCTCTGTGCAGCAAAAAATGTGCGCTCAAGGCAAATGCAAGGAAAGCTTAATGTCGAAAAGCTGCAATTAAAGCAAACGGCCAATGAATTCGCTACCCGACTCTCGGCCCTGAGAGAGCAGTCTTTAACAAATCGATCATTAAGTACCGCCGCCAAAGAAATAGTCGGGTTTTAGCGAGCCTGAAAGAACAACTGGTATGATGAGGAGTGTTAAGAAACCGATCCGAGTGGCCCGGTTTGCAATCACTCTGCCGCATAGCTCCGGCGGCATTTGAAAGATGACCTAGGTTATATTGGCTTTGAAGGCATCGCCCGATTGCTGCTAAATCGCACAATCTTGGTAGCCAGTAGTTGTAATTTTTTAACGTATTTTAAGTTTTGTTTTTTTTTACAAGCTACAAAGCATTAGCATAAAAGTAAAAGAATTCTTGGAAGAACTTATGATACATTCTTTTTAACATATTAAATTATCTCTTTCACTTTTATTCGCTTGATTATTCATCACATTGTACACACATACATACATATGTATGTACATGTATTAATATATGTATAAAAATTTGTATGACATTAACGAAGTTAGCTGTCGTTGTTATTCTTGCCGGTCTTAATTCTCGCACAACTTAAGAACTTATCAACGAGTCTCGTAATTAATTTCAATTTAGTAACAGCCAAGTGAATTGCAAAACGTTTATTGAACCAGTCGGAAGAGTACTCGTACATTACACATTAGGGTGCTTCAAATCATTGTTTTTTGTCAAATTTATTCCATAACGGTTGTAATGCATGCAAAAAAACACAACCGATTTCAATTCTTATATACAAATTTAAGAGTACCGTTAATTTCTTCATGCTCCAATGATCGAATCTAAACCAAATTACCACCTTGCCCTTTCTGATAAAAAATAATTATCGAAATCAGTTCACTTGGGCCAAAGTTATGAACATAAAAAAAAATATGTAAAATCGGCCTCCAGCTCAATAAAAGTTGTTGAATATAATTGTTATAAGGCCATTAAATAACAAAAAAAGATTATTTAAGGCCGAGCACACCTAAAAGTTAAAAATTCTAAAAATAGAATTATTAACAAAAACCAACAATACACAATAGTTCTTCATTTAAAATCGGCCTCGAGCTCAATAAAAATTGTTGAATATAATTGTTATAAGGTCAGAAAATAATAAAAAAAAACACATTAAAAAAAGAATATTTCGACGAATTTTCAACCTCCGTCTGTTTTAGAACTCGGTTAAAAATTGATTTTGTTCATATGGAAAAAGTACTCCACACCATCGACAAAAAAAAATTTTAAAAATCAACGATAATTTTTAGTGACTTGATACTTGCACTTTATCATACTTAAATTGAATTGGCTACAAAACTGCACACTCGAAAATTTTCTAAAAATTTAATAAAAAATTTGAAATTTTTTTCCTCCAAAAACATGGTGCTCCTGTGTATTTTTTTTTTTTTTTACCACCCTAATGTCCATGTATACATTTATATGTTTGCGAGCGTATATATTTATGTAGTATCGATACGTATACATTTCTCTGTATTTTATTAATTGTGTATACATTGGTTTCAAAAAAATGTTCCCAAGAGCTTGCACGCATGAAATGCAATGCAATGTGCTAATTGTTATTTTCAAAACCAGTTTACACTTGGTTACAGTAAGCCGTTATAAAACATACACACATACATAAATACATGCACATAAATAAGTATACATATGTACGTTTATGATTTCTCGTCAACGCGGATATCCTTCTATTTTTGCCGATACAGAAACCAGGCGCTCACAGGAAAGGCTTAACAGTTAAAGCGTGATTGACGCAAGAGAAGTAATAAACTATATTTGAGAAGAAATTAATTAATGTTAAGTGAGCTAATTACTAATAAAAAAAATTAAAAAAATACATTTAATGCCATCAATGCAGATTTTATGGGAAACCGAAAATAGATAAAGTTTCACAAACTGCTAACCCTCGACCAAGTTACTCGTCCGAGACTGTGGCTAAGCAAAACAAAAACCACAAAACAAAAAAGCGTCCTTCCGTTACACATTTGCTTTTTTTATTTTTTGCTCCAACAGCTTATATCTGCCCTTTTCATAAGTCAAAGTCCACTAATATTGAAGTAGTATTTTTTCAAACTTTCTCTTTCAGATGGCTTCCACAGGATGGAGGGTTGTGCTTACAATTTCAGCCTTAGCTTCAATCGTGAACTGGGCGTCGGCAAAGACAGGTGAATTGGAATTGGATACCTTTTTTGTTATATATATATATACATATGTATACATTGCATATATGTATGTACATATATATATACACTCTTAAGTAACTGAAATTGAAATTTAATATGTACCTTATTTTAAAATTTATCACACATTTTCAAACCTACAAAAAAATGTATGAATATCCACGTCTGCAGGACCTACACATGGCAAAGTGGTGGTGTGTTATATTTCGACATGGGCTGTGTATCGGCCTGGTAATGGCGCATATGCGATCGATAATTTCGATCCGAATCTGTGTACACACGTAGTCTATGCCTTTGCCGGTCTGGATATCACACAATCGGCCATTAAATCTTTGGGTAAGTGAAGCATTGCAAAAGTAATAAACTATCTTACTCTTGTTAGAAATCAGTTTTAATTAAAATCGCAATTCTTGTTCCAGACCCTTGGCAAGATTTAAAAGAAGATTACGGCAAAGGCGGTTTCGAACACCTAACCGGTTTCAAAATCACACATCCACACCTCAAAGTGAGCTTGGCTATAGGCGGCTGGAATGAAGGCTCCAAAAATTACTCTTTGTTGGTGGCCGATGCGGAACAACGCGGCCGTTTCGTCAAACAGGTCACCACGTTCATACGTCGTTATAATTTCGATGGTCTCGATCTCGATTGGGAATATCCCACACAACGTGGCGGCCGTCCACAAGATCGTGAAAATTTTGTGCAATTCACGAAGGAACTGAGAGATGAGTTTGATAAGTATAATTTGTTGTTGACCTCGGCAATCGGTGCAGCCAAGAATGTTATTGACCAGGCATACGATGTACGTCAAATTTCACGATATCTAGACTACTTACACATTATGTGTTACGACTATCATGGCAGCTGGGATAAACAAGTCGGCTTTAATGCACCACTCACGGCTCCCGAAGGTGATACGCTGAGCGTGGTGAGTATAGTGTACATACATACATATGTCTGTGCTCTCTCTGTTTCTAATCAAATTGTACTTTCAGCAATACACCATCGATTACCTCTTGAAATTGGGTGCGCCGCCGAACAAAATTGTTTTAGGTTTGCCATTTTATGGCCGTACCTTTCGAACACCCCGAGATGGCAACGTTGGTGATCCTACCGACGGCATAGCTTTTCAGGGACCCTTCACACGGGAAGAAGGCTTTCTTGGCTACAATGAAATCTGCAGCATACTGAGCAATAGGACTTCAGGTTGGAGCACCGTTTGGGATGCGAAAACTTCACAAATGCTAGCGCGCTCCGAGCGTGACGTCTTCAGCGGCCTAGTACAAGTAGTGACATTCGATAATGGCCGCTCTATTGCAAATAAGGTGAAGTACGCCGTTGAGAAAAAACTTGCTGGTACCATGATATGGTCCATAGACACTGATGACTTTCGCGGCGTTTGCAAACCAGAGGATGACATTTATGCAGATTACAAATATCTGCAAAGCAATGGCCATGCAATTATGCCAAAACGTATAAATTCAAACTATCCGCTGCTGCGAACGATTAACGAAGCCACAACATTGGCATTGGAGGAGATCGAGCAAAGTATCGAAGATAATGAGATACCGCATGGCAACATAGAGGATCGAAAGAATAGCAATGGCGGTGCAGAAGTGCTGCTGCAAACAGGGCTGCTTGCTTTCAATGCGTTTTTTTTTTGTCTTTTTTACATAGAATTTTAAATGAGTAATTGTGTCTGTACTTACTAAGAAATGGTAATACTTTGTACTTTATTTAATTTTGGCAAGAAAGTTCAAGTTCATAATGTCAAGTTACATCACACACATCGAAATTGCTAGCATCTCAAAAGAAGAAAAATTTTACAAGAAGCATTAACCTGAAATGTGTGTACTTATAAAACCCACAAAGTACTTAAGAAATGCATATGTGTGTAAAAATTTATATTTAGTTGTAGTTGTGAAATATGTATGTACATGTAAAAAGTCCTTAGATGTAGTTATTTAAGCAATGATATACATTTTAATAAAAAAAAAACAAAAACAAAAGTTATCTGTGGAAGTGAAATTTTTTCATATTACCCGAATAACTCATAATAAGGAACAATTCGCACACGACCTTCAGAGGTGATAAAACTCAAAATTACACGTTTTTCAGAAAATGCGAAAAACTATTTCTCAGCACATGCTAATCATATGGGCCAGGGAGACTTTAGGAGTGTTCGCTATGCAAAAAATTTGTACAAGTTGGTACCAATTGTTACCAAATCGTGTTCGTTTAGCCAAAAACCCAGTAAAACTTGCAAGGAGAGAGCACTATTTTGACATTTCATTTGGAGGGGAAGTTGCGAATTCGTGCTGGGAAAAATTTTGCCAGTAAGAATTCGCAAGCAGGTTTGTGGCACATGGTTGCATTTTTGTCAACATTAATTTGAATCACCGAGTTCGTTAAATTTAAAAATGAACAATCTTCTTGCGATTTACTATTAAAAGAAGTATGTAAATATTCGTTTATTCAATTAATTTAATTAATTCGAAACATTTGAGAGGACTCGGCTGAAAAAGCTGTATTCGTAATCGGAACGTACTCGACACCACTGTCGATATAGGAAATCCGACAGTGACTTCCACAATGAAATTGAAGCGTATGTTGAAGAAAGTCAGAATACGAAGAAATATACGAATAGGTCCTGTTTTGGTTTCCACCTGAAATAATTTAAAAAAGTTATTATGCTCGAAATGCAACCGTGGACGCCAGCTGGCAGTGAAGCTTGCAAATGTTTGCTAATTCCTGTTCGCGCAAAACTTAGTAAGTTTCTCTCTTTGGGAGAGTAAGGTACCTTGTTCTCTGAAATTTGTTACTGGCTAATTCTTACTGGCAGTTGCATAGCGAACACTCCTTTTACCTTAGGTTTTTTCAACGAAATGTAACAAAAATTTTCTCCAGCTTTTGCTGAAAGATAAATAAAAGCTCCGAATATTTTTTACCTTGCACGGTACAACGCATTTCTTGGCGGATATGTCGGCTTTTGTCCTTATGAGGACATCAACTAGCAGGGCAGAGGCACCTTATCCTGTTCCCACGACAGTCGGATCTACGTAACCGGAACGAACCAGATTTACCTACATATATCTGTTCAAGGACTGTTCCTCCAGCATCACTCCCCAAAAACTCTTTGGGGAATTTGTATGCTGCTACAACCAGGGCTTCGGAGCAAAGGTTTTTTTTTTCATCGCTCCGCTCCCGTATTTTATTACGCTCCAAGCTCCGCTACCGTTCCCAATATTTTTTTTTTGTTATTTAATTACTTTGTGAATATCGAGCCCTAACCGCAAAAAAATTAGCTGAATTTTTAAAATTTATTTTTTTATTTTTTTCCCCTGTAAATAAAATGCAGATACATACTAACCCTGCCAGAAAAAATCCGAAAAAGTAAAAACAAAGTAGATGAAATGCGAATTTTAGTCCGTTTATAATAACATAATAATAATAGATTGGCGCTTTTACATATGTTAGGGTTTGGCCGAGCTTCTCCTCCGATTTGTGGCGTGCGCCTTGATGTTGTCATTTTTACGATTGTATTTTTACGAGAAGCTGTTTTTCATGGCAGAAACACACTCGGAGGATTGCCATTGCCTGCCGAGGGGCGACCGCTGTTAAGAAAAAAAACGTTGATCTATATTTGTTTACCGATGTTGCTTTGACCAGCGCTTGAGCCCAGGTCCTGTGGAGTAGTAGCCCGTACTGCCACCCATTACACCACAGTGGCCGCCTAGTCCGTTTACCGATTCCATTTTCGTTTACTTTGATGATCCAATGTACAGTCAAGAACCGAAAAATTTTTTTCAAACTGATACGTTTTTTGCTGTTTTTCTGAACATTTTCTTATTGAATTTTTCGTTCAATACGCTTTCCTTCTGCACTTCACAGATGCTTTTTCATGGTTTGAAAAACAAAAGTAAGGAAGCGCCTGACGGCATTCGAACTGAAACCTTCTGAAAGCTAACGAATACTAGGGTGCTTCTCTACACGCCCTGCCGCTGCCGACTACGTATTACGTATTAAAATTTTCAGCTTAAAAAAATAAAATGTAATTATTGCTTTCAAATAACATGATCTTTTTCGAAAGTTTTCCGCTTCGTTTCCGGATACGGAAATTGTACCAGACCGCACTGCTCCTTGCTCCTTCGCTTCGCTACGCTCCGAAACCCTGGCTACAACAACAACAGGCACCTTACCCATGTGCATGCCCTCAAATTATAGTCCTTTAACCGTTTGCCGTGGCCGTCATTAAAAGGGAAGTCTTATCCGTGGCTGTATTTTTTTTCGACGCTCGTGAAAAAAAAGTTTGTTTTGGTCTCTTTTTTAAATTTTTTTGCCGATAAACCACAGAATTCCCACACCTATGGAATTATTAAACTACCTGAAAATGGCAAAAGGTCATTGATAATTATGGGCATTATATAAATATGTGCTTGATTAAAATTTTTTTGGTATAAAATTTTATTTTTTTTTTTGCAAAAATGTACCAAAAAATCCAGGGAAACTTTGTATGAACCAATATTTTATTTATAATTAAATAAATAAAATAATTATGTACAAGTACTGAGACCTTCATGAGTCTCCTTTATTAAAAAAAAATCTTAATTTTTCAAAAACAAAACTACTACCATTTATTTTGATTTCTATATATTTCGATTTATTTCTTTTTATGCACTTTTTATTAAACATAATTTCAATAGAATATTTCACTTTAGCTACAATAGATTTTTATATAACAAATTCACAAAACTAACAGTCTACATAAGTATGTACACATACATTTAAATATATGTACTTAACTATAGATTATATATATATCAATAAAAAATTAAAAGCACGTTTACATACATTTTTTGTATGAATATGTGAAATAATTATACAATAGTTATGTATGTATATACATATATACACATACATACATCAGTTGTGTATGTAACATAGTTATTACTTTTATTATTCATTATAACTATCATTTTTTAAGTAAAACTTATAGAGCCACAAAAAATGATTCTATAAACTTTAAAAATAAACCTAAAATTTTACAATTTTTCAAGGAAGCGCATATGTACATACATATGTATGCATCTGTGCATTTATATGCCATTACAGAAAACCAAACCCAACACCCTTATAAATTTAAAATGTCTGCCCTTAAGTTATGCTAAATACTTTGATTGGCATTTTACTAATAAAATTTTAAAATATTATTTACGTATGCATATATGTGAGTATGTATGTATGTATGTAGATTTTCTAAATCAGGGTCATTCCATGTAAAAGAGGAAAACGAAATAAATTTTAAAATGCCCTAATTATCTCTTTTTCGGTAGTAACCTCTTTTTAAAAAAATAAAAAAATAAAAAGCAGTTATAATTTCTGTCTATGGAAACTAAGGTAAAATAGAGTACTTTTCAGTGTCCCACCGGTCAGATTCACTCAAATGATAGTTACATAGAACTAAGACAACAACGAAAATGAGAATAAAACTGGTAAATCGTTTGGTATTTGTTTTTTAAAGCAATTTTATAACATTAGTTATAGTTCTATGTCAAAAAATATCTTTTGCTATTGTCGTTGTTCCGAGTAAAATGTCCCACCAGTCACAATGGAATGGCCCATCATTAAAACTTTTGGTTTACACAACGAATGCGTATAATTTTCTTTATGTATTGTCTATGAATAATACTATGCAAATAACTATTTATCGAACAATTTCGATATACATACATTTAATGCTAATTAACTAATGCATAAACGCAATACTTATGTATGTTTGTATGTATGTACGAGTAATGTATGTATGCTAGGTATGTATATGCATAAAATCAGTTCTGTAATTTTAAATACATATATGTTTTTATAGACACCAAAGATAGATTTTGGAACATAAATATATTATACATAGTCGGCTGGTTCTTAAAATATCAACATATAAATCTTGTACGAGCAAAAATGCACCCACTAAAATTTCAAAATTTTCAATTAAATTTAGGGAACGCTACCAGGGTTTGAAATATATGAAAACTATTCATTTAAATTCATAGTCACTGCCAAAGACTGTCATTGGTTAACATTTTTTTGGAATAAGTGCAGCATTTTTCCAAATTTTTCTTAGGTTTGTATACTGGTTTGCAAACAACTATTTTAAAAAAATATCAAGAAACTCATGTACTTATATATATATGGAAGATTTATTATGGACTTCCTGTGCTCAAAACGTATTTTTTTTTTTTAATTTTTTCTTTGGGCAAGTGTTTGACATATCTGCTCTTGCTTCGAAATTTCAGACCTTTTACTCGATTTATAAAAATAAATTTAAGTATAAGGTCTGAAATTTTAAGAAACAGCAATTGCTAAGTTCTAAGTAGTTCATTGTAAAAAGAAATCGAAGTAAAAATTTCTTAGAAATCTTGCAATAAAGAAAAACTAATTTTTTTAAACTCTGGTAGTGACTCCTAAACATTTTTTTTATTTTAAAATTTGCGCGCGCGGATGTGTTGCTATTTTAAGGGTCAGCCTAATAAATAATTTAGCATTCACTTTTATAAATTTAGACAACTTATTTTTATGGTAATTGTGAGCATACTAGCATAGTAACGCACATAAGCACGCATATAAGTATCTATGTGTAGAAATTTTAAGTTAAGAAGCTTTAAGTAATTATAAATACAAAAAAAAAATGTTTACTTTTAAAATAGTAGTAAAACAGTATGGTATTAAAATTAAAAATAAAGTCTGCACACACTTTTTTAGTTCTAATTTTTTATACATTTACTTATATGTATGTATGTAATTATATAAGTTTATGCATGTTTATAACGGTAGATATGAGCATTTGAGACCTTTCAAGAATTATATGTATTTATGTATATGGCAAGTTTACTATGTTTCGAAACGTTGGGAGCTGATGGACGGCTGAAGTGATTAAATATGAAATGGACGCCAACAACAAAGGAAATCGTTTCTATAATGAAATATTTCGAGAAAAATGCATTCAATATATTGGAGTTTCGGGTAGTCGCGTCTGGTAAGGGCAGTTTTGAAATCTATAACTCTACACATTTCAATCTCTAGGGATTGGTAAGTGGTATGTATATGTATGTGAGATCATTATTCATCAGTCACACTAACTTTTGGTTAAACTTTATGTATGCATGAGCACAGGATCTGAAAGTCTGAAAACAATTTATACCAGGGACATAACAGTTATAAGTTTTAGCGGAAAAAACGTTGTTCCATAACATTTAGTAGATGAGAAATATTTATTTTTTATTTCGCCAGTAAGAGTTATAACTCAACGTTTACTTTTTACTGTTATGCAGGAGAAATATGTTTTCTGTCGCCAATAAGAGTTTATTGTTTACGTTGTTTGATAACAGTTATTTCCCGACGTTTATTTTTTACGTCGCTTGATAGCAGTTATTTCCCGACGTTTATTTTTTACGTCGCTTGATAGCAGTTATTTTACTCCTCCTCTTTTACTTTCATCATCTTTATCTTCTTCTACATCTCCGTTTTCGTCAATCGTTTATAAGACAACGTACAAAATAAACGTTGGGCAATAACTGTTATCAAGCAGCGTAAAAAATAAATGTTGGGCAATAACTGTTATCAAACAACGTAAAAAATAAACCTTGGTTTATAACTCTTACTGGCGAAATAAAAAATATTTTTCATCTAATAAACGTTATGAAGCAACGTTTTCGATAAATTTTAGAATCCGGGCTACGTTTTATATTTGTTAATTTGGGATAATAGTTACTTTTTGTCCCTGATTTGTACTCAATCTGACAGCTGAGCTTTAAGGCCCAAATAAAAATATCAAAATAAAGACATACACGAAAATTTCTAAATTTTATGCAAATTATCACGGTTAGAAAAAGCTTAATTAAATAAATCGTAAAATCTGAAAAAAAATTTGACTTGAAATCTGATAAACTTTAAAAACATATTGTTCGTATAAATGCGTAAATTTGTTGAGTTATAGCCGGTTAAAGTCAAAATTTGTCGAATCAGCGATTTATCGATTTACAAAAAAAAAATTTTTCCAACATCAAGGCGCACACCACAAATTGAAGGAGAAGCTTGGCCAGACACTTAAATAGAAAAAATTGTAAGCGCCAAAATATTTCAAATATTTCAATTTATTGTTATTAAAAAAAAAAAAAATTTTTTCAAAGCCTGGTAGCGACCTCTATTTTTTTAGATTTTGTAATTTTTGTAGATGTCTTTATTTTTTATGTAGAAAAGAATTAAGGGGTGGCCTATGATGTTTATATTTTTAAATACCACCCTAATATATATATATACATACATATTAGAATTTTAATTTTTCGTCTGTGCATGTATTAAAAAAATTATGGTTTTTGGAAGTATGTAAATTACATTTGTTGTGACTAAAGGAGACAACACTGGCAACACTGACCACAAACCTTCTGCGCTTTCAAACCAAAAACAAAAATTTTTCAAACTTGCACCTTAAGCACCCTAAGTTCTCATACCGTTCATTATCAACCTTACTTTTGCTTATTTTTTACTAAAGCCATCCCAAAGCTTCACTCTCATTTCACTGGATCAATTTCGAATTTTATACGAAAACTTCTTCTCACAAGCATTTCCTTTCGTTGTTGTTGCATAGACCACCGCCGCCCACACCTACTACTACTCCCTTATTCACATTACCAACTCCACTTGGAATCGGCCAATCTCGTTCGCTCTGCAGTACATTAGCCTCTATGCGATCTCGCGTTTTCACGCCCTGTTTCGCTTTGGATTTGCTGGTCGAAAGATTTGTCGGACGCTGTGGTTGAGGTTTGTTGATACGCGTTGTTGTTGGTTGTTGTGCCGTAAATTGGCAAGGCGGCGGTGTTGGTTGTGGATTATCGTTGATCACTTCGTAGTGTGCTTCCGATGAGAGTATTAGATCGTGAATATCCTTCGTTGAGCGCCGGTGTGCTTCCAAGCTTTGTGACTCTGATGAATATGGAAACTTGGCGATGAAATTTGGTAGCGGCGCTCCAGTGACACGTTGCGGCACTGAAACGTCATTACCATCGTTGGTTGTTGTTGTTGTTATTTTTCCCTCAAAATTAGTCTGCGCAAATTTATTGCTGCACGGAGTAGCCGGCGACAAATCGGTGCAATCAGTTTGTGCTTCTGATTCCACAGAGCACATACTTTGGCGTGAAATTTCCTTCTGCATTTGGTTAACAGGTGTAATACTGCCGCCGATTTCTTTCTGATGCGACGTATTCAAGTTTTCCTCGTAGTCATTGGTGCGTGCCTGTGGAAATGGAAGACGACTACGTATTGAATTCTCGCGCGGACCGAAACGCTGCGCTAAGTAATCCTCATTATTGCTGCTGCTATTCTGGCTGCAATTGCTATTCTGATGCTGGTGATGGTGATGTGCAGGCACATGGTGCTGAATCTGATGGGCCTCATCGTAGTAGTTATCGTTTTTGAGCGACATATTACAACAACTGCTGACATCGGCAAAGTAGACTTCTGACTCGGCGGGATCGCCAGCGCTGTGCATGTCTGCTGCAATCACCACAGCATCAGACTCACCTTCCGTCATGGTTTTGTTAGCGACACCAACTTCGCAATTCGCCGGGAAACCACTATTCTCATTGCCGCGCTTACGACGCAATGTTGCCCTGGCGGCAATACGTGAGGAAGCGCTGCCTCCCAAGTTTTTATCTTCATCGCACATACCTTCAGTGCACTGATCCATACAATCGTCATCATTAAGCGTGGCATCAGCGTCGTGTTCGTTTGTGCAACTCGCATCGGTATTGGCATTCACCTGTTGCATGGAAAGGCGTGGAGCTGGTTGAGGATTTGTGCTTCCTATAATATTGGCCTGTACATTTGTCTCGTTGCGTTTCTTCACTTTTCGCGTAGGTAAAGTGTTGGAAAAACGGTCTCGCATGTTACAGCCATCACTCTCCGAGGGTGTGTTCTCATAGTCGCCACCACCAGTCTTCGACTTCATGGCATCTTCGCCGCCGCTACCACCGCCTCCGTTACCGCCGGTCGTGCGACGCTTTGCCAAGTTGCGCCGCATACTTGCGGTTGGACAACAATTTCCACCATTGCCATTGAGTTGATGCGGCTGTTGTTCTAAGAAAACCGAACGATGATTAAGGCAAGGCATACGCTGCTCAGCCGCTACACTAATATTACTTTCATTCGGCATATGGCCAGCGCCGCTGTGATTGATGTTGTTGTTAGCAGCATTAATATTACCGCATGGATTTGGTTGTATATATTGATAGTAGCCACGTCGTGCTGGACTGTTGGGATCGCTGTAGGGCGGCGGTGGTCCCCAAACGCCGTAGGGCAGCGCGCCGCCAACGACATTAAAAGGAGGCGCCGCCGAGCCATGCCCAACAGTCGGTGCGGTCTCCGAGTCAGCAGTCATCATATTATCCACCGCAGCCGGTGCATTATTTGTGAAACCATACTGTGAGTCTGGACTTGAGGGTGTTTGACGAAATTGCCGTGCGTTCGGCACGGGCGAATTCCGTTGCCAGGGCATACGCGGCCAGCTCCAGCCTGTCATGCGACTTCGCGCACCGGATGCGCCGCCATGCCCACGGCAAGCCGTACCTGCATTAGCCATATGCAGATCATCGCCACCTGGATTGGGGGAATAGAAGTTCCCCGGTGGTTGGCCGGTCCAGAAACGTGGCTCGCCGCTATCATCCCATGGGTAGGCGGTAGCCTGCAGAGGCACTTGACGATGCAGGTGGCACTGTTCACAGCAGCGACAAATCGGGCCACGACCGCCAGCCATAGCGGCCATATTTGGTGGTGGACCCTGTTGACTGGTGTAAAGTGAACGGCAACGCAACTCCAGCTGCTCCCAGTACATTTTCTTGCGTTCGTGACTGCACACATACATACATATAATGAGAAGGGTTATTTAACCAGTGGTTAATAAAACCAATGAAGTTTCTTCTCACCTGAGTAACTGATAAACCAGCATACAACTGAAAACTGCGACCAAGACACCTGCCACGGAAAGTCCAAATATTGCGCGTAGACAGGAGTAGAGTGAGCCATGCACAACACCACAGTCGGATAATGAGTCGAAGACGAGGCGAACACCTTCTAATAAAAAATTTTATTAGCAAAATACTGGTAGGTGACTATTACCTTTGGGACTTTACCTTTGTCCACTCGATCTACTTGGGATTCGATCATGTCGGAGTAACAAGTGCATGTTCGTGTCTTTTGCGCATATTCGCACTCGCGTAACGCCTGCAAGCGGCTCATATGGAGAACGGTTGTGGTAACAGTGACGAGCGCGCATGTCAGTGCTGAGATAAGACCACACACGCCAGACAGTTTTATCTGTAAAATGTAAATTTCATATGCGGTTAGAGGTCATCCATTTCAATTTTCGGCACATAAAATACAAAGACCAAATAAGAAAAAAAAACTATACAAGTTTGTCTACCACTGAATGTTTGGAAAAAATATTTACATGTATATACATATATGTGTCACATTCTCTGAAAACGGAGGGGCAAGTATCCCCGGTCGTATTAATTTTTTTCCAAAAAACGGCCACACGCTATTTGAAAGTAGAGCTAATCAACTTTTATTTGCGCTCAAATATACCCAAAAACACATATATAAAAAAAAAAACAGACAGATTAAAATCAGTGGTTGGCGCTATTATCGAAGGGTACTGTATATGGCTTGATTTGAAACAGATATGTATCTGAATTTGAGAAATTTTCTCGTGGCCCTTCCATATACAGTGGCGGTCAAAAATGGATGAATGGTGTTTCGTTTTTAATATTTACCATATTTTTCAAGCTAAAATTTTTTTGATATTTTTTATATAAATATGGTTCATGCTTTAACAAAAAACTATATAAATCACACTTTCAAACTTTATACAGAATTTAGAAAAATTCCACAATTTTTTATCTAAATTTCGAGCTATTAAAACAGAATTTTTTTGGAAAGAAATTTTTTAGGTATGCAGTTAACAAGTTTATAAAATTCTAGTAAAACAGGTTTACGGTTTTTTCATATAAATAGCGAAATTTAGGAAAACTGGCGTTAACTTTTTTTGCAAACGGTTTTGCGCATATTCTTCCATCTGAAATTCATGTTTATATGGAAAAAAGTGCAGCAAGCTGTCAACTATAAAAAATTATTAAAAATCAATGCGATTATTTAGCCGCTCAAAGCTGGCACTTATCTTACTAAAATTTTATAAGCTTGTTAACTGCATACCCAAAATATTTCTAAAAATTCGGGTTAAAAAACTCGAAATTTAAATACAAATTTTCCTAAGTTCTGTATAAACTTTGAAGTTTTTTTTTTTTAAGTATGAGTCATGTTTTTATAAAAAGATATCAAAAAAATTTTAGCTTGAAAAATTGTAAATATTAAAAACGAGACACCATTCATCCATTTTCGACCGCCACTGTAAATCCTTATATCTCGTAACAGAACATTATGTAAAATAAATAATTTTTTGAAGAAACAGGCCAAAATCAGGTGTTTCTTACTTTTAGGTTAGAATATTAAAAAAACAAATAATCTGATAGAGCAATTCAGAGTTCGGATTGGAATTCAGCGATCCATAAACTACGAGAAGTGACCAGTATTATTTAGGAAGTTGCCTCCACTATATTTCAAAACTCTTGGTGTTTACCTCAAAATTGCAAGTGAGTGAGAGTGGATTTTCGTGGGTGACAATAACTAAATACAATGGCACATAGTTAAAGTCAAAATAAAGTCAAATCTAAACTTAAATCGGAACTTTCGATTTCTTCTCTTCTACTCTGATAACCATTAACCTTTAACAGGCGACGAAATTATGAACGTCTTACCAGATAGCTGTATCGATTTCGTCGCCGCGCCAAACTTATTATGCATATTCCTGTCAGTATCAACTAAAACAAGTAGAAAAGGATATATTAATAAATATGAGTTACAGGATATAAAAGAAGAAAAATGTTCGCCGTTAAAAAGTACTCACCAATGTAGCAGGCACAAATGTGGGCACCGTTTCAAAATTTCCAACAGTAATCGTATATGAATGCAAAAGAAAGTAAACACCCAGAAAAAGTATGCCCAGCAGACAGGAGAAGCCACCGCAGATGAGGCACCACACAACGTACTTTTTTATGCCAGCACCATGGCGATGAACACCTGAAACACAAAAAAAAAACAATAAAATGCAAAAAGTTAGAACGCAAATTCAAAATTAAAATCAGACTGAAGAATAAAAAATAAAAATAAATTCGTCTAACCCAGCGTTGGAGGAAAGCCGACATTGCGAAGTGGATCAGCTTGTGGAATCCAGCCACAATGCGGCGGCGGCACACTATACTGCACGAATTGCATTACAGGATAGCCATGCATTTTGCCCTTGTCTAATGCTGTGGAATGTTACCAGTACACGTTGAAACTTATGGAACTTTCGCCTTTCTACAAATTCTCTTTAGTCGATTTCAAACTAAAATCACATTTGTGCTGTGAATAACGCGACCATGAGAAAAGGAGTGTGTATGCAGCAGGAAGCGCCTATGACTATTCAGATTTATTTTATTTCCTTATTTTTTACTGTGGCATATGAATTGCATTTCGGATTGGTCAGTGGCGAAACTTCAACTTTTTTGGCACATTTTAAAATGTTTTCGGCAAATTTTGTTTAGTTAAATTAACTAAAATAATTATTTTGAGCATTTTTATTTAACAGCAGAGTAAGGTGTTTTTATGTAAATTTTCTTTGGCTCCAAATTTCAGTATCTATACACAATTATAATGAGTGACGAGGCGAAAATCCTTTCGCACTTTCAACTTTCCGCTGCCATTCTTTACTTTTAACGTTCTACCCACATACTGAATGCCTAGCAGGATTGTAGGCGCATTGGTGCTAACAAAGCCAAAGCTTTCTTCTATGCGAAAAAAAGCTTTCCTCCGTCAAACACTTGTTCGTTGTGTCCTGTGCTTTAAACGCGACGCGTTATATCCTTCCTTCTTACATATTTACACTTGAGGAATTTTCTTTTAACGCCTTCGATAATGTCCGCAAACAAATACTTAGTGCGTGTGTATGTATGTGTAAAGCAGTTGCCCTATAGGAAAGTTAGTTCGCAGCAATGAATCAGATGCAACCTAACGTTTTTCTAGTGTTTGATAAAGTTTCTCTTTAAATTTCTAGTGTGATTCTTGAAAACTTTGTCAATTAGAAGAGGCTTTTTATGTTAAGCTTGTTCGTCGTTCAATTCAAGTCGCCTTAGATTTCCAATGGTCAATGTAAAATATCCATCCATAGGTTTGTCTTTGCCTCGCGAGCAAGGACAGTCACTAGTAATAAAATTTTCTATCGTATTAGGGGTTCTACGGGTTTTAGTGAGCACGGTCGTAAAGTACTCAATTAGACTCAGATATAGATAAACTCACTAATCCTCCCAAAAACAGAAATTGGCCTACCTTTATGAGCCAAATTGTAACTCCAAGTCACTTGGAACTTGTGCATCAAGAAATAAAAAATTAAAAACGTGGCTACAGAGGCTCGCAGGATATTAGCGCCATTGCGTGCGCTTGAGGATGTATCTCTCGAGTTATTACACCTGTTATGATTGTTGATAATGCAATAGAGTCCTTGTAGGGACTATACAGGTTTTCGTGGCAATATCGTGGAAGGCAAACAGGGGCACTCCTCTGGGAGGTTTTGGTGTGGACAACTTCCACAGGAGCATTATTTAAAATTCTAAACTTCTATTTTATAGATCATGTTGGCTAAAGGTAACAGGGCAGTTAACACAACGGTAATTTGGATACAGTAATTTACGTACGCTTACCAGTAAATGAGACCTTGTCGTTCCTCGGGCCAGTTTTAGAAAGGCACACACGTAATAATAGAGCAAAACGAGTAGTCAAGGGGACAACGATCAAATCACCATACGTACCATTTTTACACCGCTTCAGTCTGGTTGACTAACCTTTATGTCCCAGCTCTGAAAAGGTGGAAGACGCGGAACAGTATAGCATCGTTTACTGAAGACCTACTGCGGCCAGACAATCTAAACAGACAAAATACTTGGACAGCAGTCTTGTAGAGTTATACCAGAAGCTAAGTCGAGAAAAAGCTGGTCGAAGAGACAGTGCAACAAGTCAAGAGGCCACCCCACTAAGGTGGGTTTTTATATTTTATTTTAAAACACAGAGTACTGGTTCACGTTGATGCATCAGAACTGTAGCGAATTTAGACCTCCGCGCTCAAAAATCTTCCCTACGAGATAACTGACCGCAGTACCGGACGTATTGTATTATACTTACGACGGTAGTTCGAGTTAAAGTCCTACACTGACGGGGTTTGGTTCTATATGCTACATCCTCGTAAAAACGTACTATTTCCCTACGGACGGAATTAAAATTAAAAAATCAGAACAGCCCATTTTCACTAACAACTATAAAGACAAACTCACTTTGTGTTTGACAATTCTGGAGTTGGATAGACGAGCTCTAGGTTAATCGAATGGTTTTTATTTACTGAGTCTGGGACTCAATTGGAGGGAATGAGCGAACTGATTTGCTAGCCAAAACCGGGTAAACGTACTATTGGAAAACACGTCAGACATCTAACACTCTCTCAAATGTCACTTTAAGTGAGTAGACATGGCAATGACATCGAAAGAAATTCCCTGTGGGAAACGTTAACATTTTGCAGGACCGCCAATTGCACTAACGATATTCTAACACTTCCAAGGTTGGATTCCAAGATACTTATTAGTGCACCTCCAACGGGACAGTGTCTCACATTCTCTCATACTTTCAAGTTAGAGGTAAAACAGCGTGAAAAGGAGATGCCATGCGCCCAAAGTAACACTTACTGTACACACCAGCCCATCTTCCGTATGACACTGTCCACCTTTCGGGAGATTGCGGCTCAGCTAACTTGGCTCTACTTGTTCTTCTTACTGAAATAAATTACACACCAAACAGCCAGCGATGTTTAAAATTCGCTAAAAACTGCATGATGACTAAGGTTTAAGCCTAGGTCTCTATTCTCTTAACAACACTAAAAACTTACTAATAGTCTATGTTCGATCTCATAGATCAGCCAAGCTAATTTAAGGTATTTTAACATCTTACAGTCTTACGATTAGTCGACTTTTACACAAACGAGTTTAGTAAAATATTCGTTTTCTATTCGTGTGGCGTGTGAGAAAAACACTACTCTTATATTTTAGTAAGTTTTTCCTACATGGCGCGTATAGACAAGTTTGAGTTGATAAGCGCATGCGCTAATAATACATATGTATGCAAGTATGTGCTTAAGTAAATATACAGAGTAATGCACGTTGTCTACAGGAATTGCATTAGAGAGGCATTACCGACCTACACTTGTTCTAAGGACCGGGTATGTGAAAAGTCTGGGTTGGACGAAGAAAGCGATGCGATGCAAAGTAGTGAGGTAAAGTGTTAGAAAAATGTGCATACAAATGTAGCAGCGAGCAATGAGATAATGAACTCGATTTATAAGGATGTTATGCCTCCTGCTGGCACACCCGTTTTCCAACTCTAATCCCACACTTTACCGAATTTTCTGATCCCTCAAACACATACATATGTATGATCCCTTAAAAACATGCATACATACGAATGCACGTCTATCACCACCTACTTCTTACACTTACCATTTCCCGTTATAGTGGCATTTCGCAACCTGGGTGGCGGTGGTGGACGCGGCGGCAAGGGTGGTCGCTGATCATCAATGGAATCGTGACCTCCTTTGCTATCGCCATCGCTGTAGATTTCAATATGACTGGAATTATAATGACAATCGCAATTTTTGTCGGCTGCCAATGGCGAATTTTGATCTTGCAGATGACACCACGAATTCCTGAAAATCACACATACACACATATGTACATATGTCTGTTCCCATAAACACGTAAAAGAAAGCACAACTCTGGACTTACATTTCATTGTTGGTATGCGTACAACTACTACCACTACCACTCGTTTTCTTCTTCTTCTTAATCATCGTACTATTATTGTCCGATTCGCTGACTGTGATCTCATCAGCACCCAACATGGCTTCAATTTGGCATTGCTTCTGATTTTTCAACGGTGATGGTGTGTCCAAAATATCTGCATTCAAATCAACATCGCTGCTGGCAGCTGCCTTATTGCTCGTAGTATGCATAGCTGCAGACTCGACGGCAGCACTGCGCAATCTTTCGGCCCCCCCACAAGTGCATTCCAAGTCACAATCGCAGCTGATATTCAACTTGGAATTGCATAAGACATTTAATGGTTTCTCCTCCGTTGCCGATTGCAGCTGCAGCGTCTGGTAGGAGTGATTCAGTAGTGATTGTTCTGATTGCGCTTTAGTGGGCGCTGGTTCGCGTTCACGCTCGCAATCTGTTTCACTATTCGATTGACAATGTACTTGCACCACAATTTTGCTCGAGTCCCCCCCCTCAATGCGCGGCGTTTGTCCAATGGCTGTGCTGGAGGCGGTAAAGTTTCTTTGCTGGTAATAACGTTGATTCAGCAGTTGTTGTTGTTGCTGCTGCTGCTGTTGCTGCTGTTGTTGTGCACCACACGAGCAATGACAATGGCAAGCGACTTCCGGTATTCCCAAAAGCGATCCCTGTTGTTGCTGCTGTTGTTGCCTTTGCGCATGCAGGCCAATATGGTAGTAGTATGGCGGATATTGTATGTAATGATACTGATGCTGTTGCGTACCCAACGAGGATGCGCTATGCTCTGCCAAACTGGCTGTGGACATGTGCAAATTGGACGCTGAGGCAAAGTTCGAGTGGTAAGGATGCGTGGCGGCGGCGGTATGCTGCCGCAACTCCAAATCAAATTCATCGACAGGTCGTTGCTGCTGGATCGCTGTATTCATATTAAAGTTATTCGAAACGGACATGTTGTCGTCGCAGCGCGCCTGCCTTTGGTTATCGTAGCCTGCAAGCGGTGGAGGCTGCTGTGTTGAATCCATTGTTGAAACTAAAAGGGACGTTGCACAATATTTACTTATTTTAACTAGGCAGAGCTCTTAGTTGCAAATGTTAAATTATACACTTTTTACATACACATACAAACATACTATTCCATACTTATGTACATATGTATGTGA